TTTGAGAGGGGATCAAAACAAAACATACATATCAAATTAGTGTGAACGACCGAAAACGCCTCAAAATGAAAATGATGCCCGAGAATATCGCAGCCTTGTGTAAATGTAAATGTAAATGTAAATGTCACGATTGAGAGGACGAACATACATGTCCTCTTTACATAGCTTTTTGCAGTGGGCTCGGACATCAGCATACTAAGGGCGCCGATGGCAGCCGCTTTCAGTCCATTTTTTGTGAGCCCACCGAATCCTCCCAACCCATGATGAGTGATGATGTAAGTGATGAAGATAGACCACAACACCGGGAACTACGTCCCCTACTCTTTTCGAATAGTGTGTGGGTTCTTTAACGTCCCACAGAGTAATATGTGAACAAGGTTTGTGAGACGGGACCTCCGGTTTATCGTCCTTATCCGAGAAGACTTGAAAGTCTAATCATTTGCAGATGTCATTACAAAGACAGCACTTTCTCCTCAGTTATTTTTAAGACCCTGAGTGTTGGTTCGGCCAGGATTCGAACTCGCGACCTCCCGCTCAGCAGACCGGCGCTCTCCCAACTGAGCTAACCGGGCGGAGTTGTGTGTTTGTAGCATGCGCATAGAGTTCACCTCATGTCAAAGCTATCGTTTTCGAACATTTTAGCGTGAACAGTGGAAAACGCATCAAAACAGTAATACGCGGACGCGAATCGATCGATGCGTTTTCCATGACAACGAAAATGCATCATAGTACTTGTGAAAACGAATTAGAGTGGAAATGGCCCCAGCCATCTGCCGTGTAGGAAGCAAAAACAACCCAACTTTGAATGGAGGGGTCGGAGAGGGGTAAGTTTGTATTTTTCTCCGAAATATTCCCCATATGAGGACAATGCCTCGGTGTTACCTTGGCTCGAGCCAAGAGAAGCGAGTCTAGCTGTTTGCAGGCAAAGGCAGTACCTAAAAAAGAGAAGTGTGATCAATCCCCTCCTGGATCAATTTAGGTTTTTGTGAAACTGCCCACCTACCCCTCCCCTAAGTTAACATTTTACCCTAGGTAAGAAGTAGGTGTTAATGTTAGCTTAAGGGAGGGGTAGGTGGGCAGTTTTCCAGACACCTAAATTGATCCAGGAGGGGATTGATCCCACTTTTCTTTTATTTTTAGTTTGAACTACTTGCAAGACATCTCGTCTTTACCACATTCGACGCACGTATACGAAGTGTAAAATGTGAAAATAAAAATGTTCTAGAAGTTTTAAAATCCTTGAAATATATTTCGAGCCTCGTCAGTCAATAAAATTTTCATGTAAGATGCACTAAAATAGTCTACGTGTTCGCCAGTGTCATCATGGATAATAGAAAGACTATTATCCATGGTGTCATGTAAGCCAACATGGTGTATTCTAATTTAAGTGGTCACGTGCGATTACCGCGCGTGGAACGCGGAAATAATTCCATTCGTTCTTGGCTCATCAATGAGTCTTCCGGTACTTGATCTATCCGAACACCCTCCGATATCTGCCTCAACATGGCGTCGTTGGAGTAAGAACCGGTAACTTTCATTTCAAATTTCTGAATTTCACTGGAGACCCTGAGTATTGGTCGAACCCGCGATCTCCTGCTCTGTAATCAGGGGGCTCTACGGACTGAGCTGGTCCTGCTGTGGCTAAATGTAGAAATGCTTACCGAAGCCAGATGTCACTTTTGATATGTAAAGGACTGATTTCTTTTAGGTGATTCATTTATCAGTTTGCTCATGGCCCTGAGGAAGACCAGGCCAATTTTCTCAGCCAAGATATTGGTCTCTAAAAAATCAGCCCTTTGCCGTATCATCAGCGTTTCCGGCAGTTTTGGTTCAAGCCTTTATTTTACCTCCGCGGTTGGTAAAGGTTCCTTCACTGTCGCCCAACAGGTTTTTTAGGCTCCACCCACACTAATCAGTACATTTCGATGTGTTTAGGTTTTCACCCACACTAACACGCTGAGCGTTTTCTTCTAAAACGCACCGATTTGAAAACGCTCTTGAAAGTCTATAAAAACGAAAGCGCCTACGTATCGTATTAGCCAGTGTAGACCCCCCCGTCCTGGTCGAAAACGGTCGAAAACGCATCAAAATGAAAACAATGCTCGAAAATATCAAAGCCTTTTGTGTTTGTATAGAAGTTCAAATTACGTCACGACGTGCAATTCTATCGTTTTGGAACGTTTTAGTGTGGGCAGTAAGCATCAGAACGGTTGTGTAGACGCGAATCGTTGATCGATGCGTTTTTGATGACAGCGAAAACGCATACTTTTCCTCAGAGACATGTTTTCGTACTTGTGATTTTTTAAAAAACAATTTTCGTTTTTAATGAACCCATCCAATTTTACCATTTTTCGAAAATGAACGAGTTTCAACCAAGAGTAGCACTAAGTTGGCTGGTGCTGTTTTAAAAGCCCTCTTTGTATATTTCCCAAAATCTCAAATTCAAATTGGATTGATCCTGACGATAAAAGCGATTGCGTGAATAAAAATAACGCAATATTATTGTACAAAGTTCAGGGACCTCGGCCTCCTGGCCTCCGCTGCACATACTAACAGAGGAATCGTTTTCATCCAGTTGTACAATTCACAGGTTGCCAAATCGACCTTCACGCTTTTTTCAACTTTTGACATCCAGTTAGGAAAATCCCTCGACAGCACTAAAAAGAGCGCTTTAGTATTAGTAAACTTGCCAAGTTTCAAAGTGATACGTCTTAAGCTTGCGAAGATACATCCCCGCAAAGTCGCGAAATTTTAAGGACTGTTTTATGGCTGGGGAACACAACTTGCCCCCACCATAAAAAGGTCTTGAAAATTTCGGAACTTTCGGGAGCTTTATGTTCGTTAGTTTTCAACAAATTACTTTCAAACTTTGTAACTTTTTTAATTTAAAAGCGCTTTTTCCAGAGAAGTTGACAGATTTTCTCTTGCTTGTCCAAAAATAATTCGTGGTTACTGGTCTATTCTGCTGGCGGTGAACGTGAAGACCCAGCGGATATGCAAGAAGTCATATGCTGTAGATTAATTTGCCTTTGATTGCTATGACATTTTCATTTACCTATCCTGTTACTTCCATTTCTCATTTGAGATGTTCTAGTTAATTAATTGTTCGATGTATTTAACAGTCTATATCCTTGTTCTAATATACGACGCCAAAAAAATAGAGGGCAATTACCATGTACAGATTGTCCCTTCAGGCGGGATTCTACCGAAGGGCATTTAAAAAAATCGAGACTTTTCTTGTTAAAGCTGCTCATCAAGAAAAACAGGGAGAGCTTAAACGCTTTATTATTGCTTACAAATATTTTGCTCCTTTTGTAAACTTTCTTTTTTTACTTCTTCTTTGTTTCTAAGCTAGTGGTATTACTTAAATCAACTACATTTTGTTACGTAGGCTCGCTTGCAAGTTCATTGAAATCTCATTAGTTAGGTAACATGGCATTTCTGTTTGCAAATTAAACTAACAGAAATGGGTTAATATTGAGTATTTTAGACTCGTTTAGATCATAATTACTACATAAAATTTAATTTTAGCGTTTGCTTTTCATCACGAAAGACAAATTAAATAAATAGATGACCCGAAAAAAAGTCGAGACGGAGTTTCCTGTGCATGTTTCTCATTGAGCAATCACTGATGAGTTCGAAACAGAAACGACAAAATTACATTGCTAATGAATTTATCTGAATGGAAGATTGATTTTTGCCCTAGATACCCCTTTCAAAATAAAACGATTTTGGTTAATTAAGGCACAAATGATAGGAAACTCTTTAAGTCTTCACCTGTACAGTAAGACAAAAGCTAATTAAAATTGAATTTCCATCGCTAATAAAAATCATAAAAAGCACGAGATCCGAGAAGAAAGAAATCTGTCGTGAACAAAGGGCAAAGCTTATTACCAACGGATGATTAAAAGGAACGCGATTTCCTGTTTATGGCCTTGTCGTTACACTACTATAAGTTAGACAAAGAAAGTAATTTCGCTAGCCCACGCTTTAACATTTGCATGAAAATCAAAAGAGACTAAGTTTGTCTCTTTGTGCGTGATTGTCGATCGACGTTTTAAGTCGCGGGTATACAAAACAAACAACTTTTGTGTAAGTCCTCTAAATAAGGTATTCGAACTTTATGCATGTGTACTTTGAAATGTATACACAGTCTTGTAAAGTTTATTAGCAAAGACGGGCGGTGGAGTTTTGATTGCTGTTAAAGTCGCTTACACCTCTCAGGATTGGTCAACGGCCGATAGCTATTTTCTGAAATATCAATCACTTTTTCTTTGCATTTGTGAAAGCGTGAGATATTTATAATCTCAAATTTCGATGGTGAGCTTTTATATATACGGTGCTAAGAAAAAGTATGATATCTTTTGTAAGTCTCTCTAATGGTAACATTTCCAATGTTTGACTTTTTTAAAATGGCTTCATTTCACCTTCCCAAGTTGAGAATTTAAGTTGACGTGTATGTGCCATCTACAGGAAAAGGAAGGAATTTCATAGTGCGTGATGTTAACTTTGTTTAAAAATCTATCTAAATCCTAAGGCCAACAAAAGAATTTAGCAAACAGTAGTTCTTAATCCATGAAACTTAATCTTTCTTTCCTGGAATTAAAAGTGGCGTTGTCTGTTTAATTTGTCGCAAAAGCGTTTTAGAAACGCTTTAAAGGCGTCAAATTAGATGCGCGGTTCTATTGTTCAATTTCTGTGGCAAAAATAGAAGTTATTGATATTTTCATTGATACCCCACCAGATCCACAATCAAAGTCACGATGTGGGCGATTAAGACCTTTAAGCAAATTATATCTAAATTAATGTTAATGAGGGCGTGATGGTCCTACTTTGAGCTTTATTCAAGGTTCATCTACTTTCATTAACAAAAGATTAGAAGCTAATTGTCGCGAACGCTGCCAATCACAGCAGCAGAGAGTAATTGAATTTGCGAATAGTGTGTGAACAAGAGTATAGTTACAATAACATTAAGTGAGTTTACATCCTTTCGTGAAAAAGACACCACGTCAAGCTAGAGACAACCCAATTCGTAACTATGAGCACATTCGCTTGACATCGCCGAAAAAATGCAACACAGATCCTTTACAATTGATGATATTTTAGGCGAAGATCTTTCCAAAGAGGCAGCGAAAGCGAAACAGAAGGAGGAAACTTCGCAAACCACTGCCGCTCGAAGACCGATTTTGTTGCCGAGGGTGCAGCCTATGATTTGGGGACAACGTACGGGCCATTGCTGCAGTTCGCCGCATCCAAACTGTTCCAGTCATGTTAGCGAGCCTAGTGCATTCTGCCCACCGTGGTATTACGACAGACATCTTTATGCTTATCAGGGTAAGATATTTAAACATTATCACCTCAATGTTTCTGATTTTTAGTGGTCCATCTTCGTATCTGTACTTAAACGTGGAAACCCGATTGGCAAAAAACAGCCAAGCCCGCTCCAGCGCAGCTCCCTGCCGGATAGTTCATAAGGCAAAGCTAAATACCATCAGAACATCAATACAGCATACACTAACGAGAAGACGTTAAATTAAGCAAGCTTTGGCGGTACATTTTGTTCAAACAATTTTCACACAAACAATAAGGAATGAGTAGTCACGGCTTCTCTGAAATGCCTCGTCATTTCATAGAATTCAAAAAAATTAGGTTGACAAAGTTATGAGGCAGGCTTAATCCATGAGATCAGGGCGGGAGATTTGACCCATAGATTTGGCTTCTGATAGTTATTCATTTTTTTTTTTACAGTTCATTATAGATAGACGAGGGTCTCCATGGGGTGGTAGCTTTGACGGTTGACGGTTATTTTTTTCCAATTAGTCAATTTTGACGGTTGACGGCTAAATTTTAGAGCTTTTGACGGTTGACGGTTAGTAAGCGAAAATTTGGTCCATAAGTTAAAGTAAATATTAAGTTGTGTGTAAATTAATATTAACTGTTGTGTTTTGGAGGCTGCCTTGGCCTTTCACGAATAAAATATCGTAGCATTTTCAGGAGAAAACAAAGTTGTAAGGTCTTGTAATGTTCAGAGAGAGTGTTTTTGAGAACATGACGCGTGGTTTTTCAAGTTAAGAGATTCTTCAGGAGCCCAAAGTCCGTTAAGGACGTGAAGATCAGCTGAAATAGTGAGCCTTTGAAATACCTTGAACCGTTTTAACGGTTAATATCACCCTGAATTTTGGACGGTTGACGGTAAAAAATAACCTTTTTTGACGGTTGACAGTTAAATTTTAGGCCTTTTGACGGTTGACGGTTAACCAAATTGAGCCCCTCATAGACTGCATATGAACTAAAACCCTTATTATTTTCAATGTAATAGGCATTGCTCCAGAGCAATGAAGATAGGGATTCTCAGTAAACTAAGGAACTCAGTGATCAGAAAACTATAAACGGTTTTTTACAATCAAAAACTTATTTGGATAAACGTTGTGGGTGAATGATGGGGACATAATCTTCGGCACGCAAAGCGTGGGCTATTACGTTAGATATCTAAATTAAACTTATCTATCGACATTTAGAACAAAGATGGTTAGTTGTAATATTTTATTATCGAAATAGGATTGATTTTGAAGTAATGGGCACCAGAATACCGGGTGTTGATTTCCAATTTCAGTTAAGTTTGTATTAACAAACAAGAGCTCACGAAAACCAACGTAACGGGTGGAGTTTATATGCAAGAGAGAATGAGATTGGTTTAAGGAGACAGATTTGAATTTACTTTATAATTTCATACTTATTTAAACTGAGATAATTTGAAACTCTTCATCAGTACAGAATATAGAACAAGGTTATGGACAAAAGTAGGTAAAAAATGAGATAAAAAAATTTTAGAAAAAGCTACACCATCTCGTACAGAAGCATAGAACAAGCATATATAATGGCTAAGCATAGGTAGTTTACGATCATACCCTCCTTATATCGTATCTCTATATGTCTCCTCTCAGAAAAACAAAAAACATCTGCTAGCAGGCCAAGCGAGAGGGGCACCTAATATCTCTCTTTTCAGTGAGTCGAGAGGGTAAATTGGCGAGGTTAGAGTAGAGGGAGGGAACGAGGAGAGAAGGGGCACCCAACGGCAATTTTCGGGAAAATATCTGTTCGGAAGACGATTTGAGAACTTTTTGGGAACAGCTCAAATTCGCTTGCTTTCTTGTTTCTCCTAATTTTCGAACATCTACAAAATGATTCCCATTTTAAACGATATTTACTTGTTTTCGTTTTCCTGGCTATGCTCGCGCTCGTTTTGACCAAATTTTCCACTGACTTTCAGCTAGGAAATCCGAACAGATGAAACGGTCTAAACTATATTTCAACAATGAAAATGGTTTGACGCGACCGTGTTGAAAGCTTAAAAACGTTCAATTACGATTCAGACTTGTTCTTACGCCTGAAAAACCCTAACGGTCTAAATATTGAAAATCAGCCGTATCAAAAACGTTCAATATGAACAATTCCTGGTAGCCTGCATCACTGGCAAAGTTAATGTCGTACCTAGATCTCACTCGGTCTCGCGCTTGGCCGTGGGATATCTGGGAAAGAGATTAAGGTGTTGTTAGCCGAACATGAGACATTAGGGACTTTAAGATCCAACGACGGGGACGGCGACGAGAACGTAAAAAAAAACAGTAGGTTTCACAACCAATACAACAACTTTGCACGTGCAAGACCCTTTTTTGTACATTTCTTTGCCCGTTTTTGCACGACTACGACTTGAAAATGCCTAATTTCACCTTTTATGGAGTACGTAAACAAGCAACGACGAAATTTTATTTCTCTCTTTGAATTTGGATATTTTCCCTCGGAATTCAACTCCAGGAGGTTTCGCTTACATTTGACAAAGTAAGTGGGCAGGAATAATTGCGATAAAGACTGAAAGAACGCAATTCACTTTTTAAGCCACGTTTTCGTTGCCGTCGCGACGTTGGATCTTAAAGTCCCTATTGGGCGCAAAGCGCGAAGCGGAGAAAGGAGAGGAAAATCTACCTCGTCCTTAATCGCTGGCGATCGCTTGTTTTGGGGATATTTTGGCTGATAATTTAGGAAGCGGGGGCGAATGGAGAGATGAGATTGGGAGAAGGCAGAAAAAACTCGCGGTATACGCTCGTTCCCATCATGCCCCACTTGCGCTTTTCGCTCGTCTCCAGTGCCCAGCTTTAATTTCCGTGCTCTCCGCTCAGCCCTGGGAAAGCCTGGGGAAGAGGTAGAAACAGTAACGCCACTGAGAAAGTCTAATGTAGGCTTTAACAGATTGTGCCCGCATAATGTTTTACATAATTTTAAAGTATTTTTTGAAAAAAAGCACTGCTAGCATAATTTACACTTTTGTTGGCTAGTCGTACAGCACAAAATTGTCATTTTACGGATCATGCAACCATTTTTTTTGGCCGGAGATCAGTTTTACGGGCAAATATAAGTATTGATGGGACCTGCACACAGTGGCCAGTTTAAGGAAAACAATTGAAAACATTCTCATTTACAAGAGCCATATACTAAAACAGGAGAGAATGAGCTACATCATTATCTCTAGACTAAAATTTTTCGTTTCTATTTTACAGATTACCCTCATCAACATTTTCACCAACGAAATCTCATCATGAACGGAAAACAGCGTCGTCCTCGCACAGCATTCTCAAGTCATCAACTTCTAACATTGGAACGCCAGTTCCAGGCGCAGAAATACTTGACTCGACCGCAACGATACGAGCTTGCCACCAGTCTTATGTTAACGGAGACTCAAGTCAAGATCTGGTTCCAAAACCGCCGAATGAAGTGGAAACGTTGCGGCAAGAGCTCCGAAGGTAGAAAAACAAGAAAGGAAACAGATGTATCGGAACACGAAGACGACTAAAGACGTTTTATTATTTTCCCGATTTATTAACATGACACCGGCGCCGATGCTCGTGCCATGCGTTCATACCCAGTCTCCCGATTCACAACGCCGCGCACCCTGTCAGCAGAGCCTTTCGCCAACCTCGCTCCCAGGCTCTCTCTCCTACCTGTCCGTACGGAGCGAGAGCATGGGTAGGAGAGAGAACCTGGGAACGAGCTTGAATTTTTCCCTTGCTCAATTTTCTCCTCTTCTCTCAATAAGTCGAGGCTCTTCTCGCAGGAGAAATACTGTGGGGTCAGAATGAAAATTAAAAATATCGAGGACTTATTTTGCAAATAACGAAGACCAAGCGATACTCCATGAACGAACCGCTAAAAGCTGACATATGAATGCAAGATCTGAACCTGTTCCTAGCCTCTCAACAGCATCACCCTACAAAGAAACGGGTTGGTCATAATTTTTTGCACATGCGCATGAGGTCACTCTTAAGACTGGACTGGAGAGAAAATTTAAGGATACTAATTAATTATTTTTAGGCCTGCGAAAAGTGGAGATTGTGTGTTCGAGAGGTTGCCAAACATTTACCAGAGAGGACAATCCTCTATTGACCTTTATGAAAATTCAATAAAGTGAAGTTTTCTATGAAATCGCTGACTTTCTCGTGTTTGATATGTGCTCTAAACTTACATTTTGCTCAAAAATTGTTCAGAAAGACAAAAAATTGCTCGAGGTTGCTAGAACCTCAGAAAGTTCCTCAAAAGTTAGCGAACACAATCGGGACCTGAGGCCTAATTGCACTTGGAGAGGATCCGATTCCTTTGTTCACGTTCTTGAAAAAGGTTCTGATTGCTATGAAAAAGCTTTTCTTAAGTCACAGGCTTTCCCGGATGAAGTGTTTTGTGCTCTGGTTGGATGAGACTCTCCTCGTTATTTAAAAAAATAGAATTTATAACTCTTTATTCGTGAGACAACGTCATCTTTAAGGCACGTTCGTGCTTCCGTTTTCCCTCGAACAAGAGGAGAGACCCTGGATCGAGCCGAAAGAACGTTTGCTACAGTTGCCACACAGTCTTAAAATAGAGAAGATATTGCTACTGCTTTAATCGCTGGAAATACACGTAAAACCATACTTTTAGAAACTAATGGACCTAATGAATTCAACGATCTTTGAGGTCCAGGGGGCCCAAATGAGCCCACGTTGGAGGGTCTTTGATCAGCGGAGAAATATTTTTCCTCCCCATAATGCAACACCAAGCTTCGTTCTTTCTCTTTAGTGACACGACATCTTCTGTTTTGCGGAGACTCTTTCCGGTAAGGAAAACTTTGAATTAATCGTTATTCTCTGTAGTAGTTGGTCTAAAATCACTTTGAAAACTCTTTCTAACCTTCTACGTTAATATTCAAAAGGATTAAAGCCATAAAATGGATCAGATCACCAACGCTCTTGAACCATGCAAGCAGTTCGCCAAAGACTCGATGAGACTTGTGAAAAGATGTACGAAGCCAGATAGAAAGGGTAATTGTTGACTTCTTTTTTAAGTGACCTTCCCAAAATCGTTTGTAATTTTCTTAGACTTAAGCTTTAGCTGAGTATTTTGTTGAGAAAATGCTCCAATTTTTATCTTGATCGTAAGGTTTTAAAGCTCTTTGATATTTACCAGCGTTTTTTTGTTTGTCTTTTTGGTGGTCTAGTGAAAATCTTCTACTATAATATGCTTTAGAAACTTATCAGAATGGTTTCATTTTAATCTACTTTTAGACTCTTTATAATCCCTTAACATTATAGTGATTTAAACTCCAAGTTGTCGCTCTCTTGTTCCTTTGTGTCCAACTTGGAACGGTACAAGTGATCAATTCATTGTCTTGGGTCTTGGATTATTAGTCCCAATAATATAATAAATGGAGTAATACCCTGCTACTTTCAAGCTGCAATATCCCTAAAAGAGCTGAACTGAATACATGGATACAAGATCCTTTCTTTTTCAGTGGCTTTAAGAACGACAAAAAGACATTTATGGGCTTTGTTGTTGTTCTTAGTGTACATTGAAGTGGATACGTTGATACTTCAAAGGCTTTCCAGTCGTCAGAACTGGCCACTCAGACTATGCTAGTCATAATAAGTATTTCATTTTTAATCAGAACTGTTTTGCCAGATCAGTCGATTCCTAAATGATATGCATGGGGTTGATGAGTTTTCAGGGAAAACACTTAAAAAGCATTCATATTGAATGACAAGTTCGGCTGGCAGTTCTAACTTTTGGAAAGCACCCATAGTCAGTATTGTGAGAAGCAAAAAAGAAGGAAACAGGACTCCTAAAACAGAACAAGAATATACAGTGCATATAATCTTGACTGAATTAGGGCCTCAACAGGGTTTTCATTAAGAACTTTTGGTAGAAGGAGAAAGTTGTAATTTTACAGGACAATTGATTTTGAAAGAGGCTCCATGTCTGAGTAAAAAATAGTCATAGGCTACCGAACCTTAGTCTGAGAATTCTGCGTAGTAAACAGAATTCTCTGATCTCTGATGGCTAATGAACACCCTGCCTTAAACCACAAGAGGAGTTTTCATTTCTGGGCATGATAGTGAATCATCTCATTTTTTTTGCAGAATTTCAGAAGATTGCCCTTGCCACTGCTATTGGTTTTGCTATCATGGGCTTCATTGGCTTTTTTGTCAAACTCATTCACATCCCCATCAACAACATCATAGTGCAATGACACTTATTCGTGGTTAGTAGCTTTCCTGTTTTACCTTCCAATTAATAAATCCAGTTATCGACTTAAGGCTGAGTTTACCCTAACTGGGAAACTTAAGAAACCATGACAGTGATGGTACCAAATACTTTACTGTTGTTAAATTCCATATTGATTCTTTATAATAATAATAATTAATGATAATGATGATGATGATCATCATCATCATCATAATCATCATCTTCATAATAATAATAATAATAATTATGATAATAATAATAATAATAGTATTTATTTACCTATGTAGTGCCATATCCAAAAGAATGGCCTATAGTGATTCACAGAGATAAAACCTACTGTATTTTTTCATTTATAAGGCACACTCTCGGTTATGAGATGCACCCCAAACTTTTTCAACACTATTTTTCGATGTTCACCACAACTCCAACAACACGGTTTTCAGTGTCGCTGATTATGGCCATACTGCATTTACCTATGTCAACAAAAGCGGAAAAGGTTACATATTTCTATCAAAAGGAAAAATATCACTCCTATCAACACAAAAAGCATTATTTTCTAAAGCTGCAAATACTTAGGGAATCCGTTTTGTTCCATAAACAAGTCAGCCGTCTTGGTTGCAGCATATTGACATGGTACATTCATTGGTAGTATCAAGATAAAATTGATCGCGTAGTACGTGAGCCTGAATATTTTGTTAATTAAATGCGAAATCTGGTAAAATTAAGCCCTTCTTTTTCAAAATAAGTATGATAAAAGAGCTATCACTGTTCTATTAACAGTTTTGGGAGCTCTGTTCGGAAAATAAAGGTGTGAAACAAAAGCAAGATGGCACTGTAGAAATGACTGTCAACAAACTGCCATCTTGGGTCAAGCACATGCTCCAAAATTTGCCTGGTTACCAAGCATAAACATTCAGTTCAAAACAATCGATGCCAGATGATTTGTTTTGAATGCAAAATGATTCGTTTCTTCATTTAATAACAGCTTTAGAAGATATAGAAGAGGATGAGAAGCTATAAGTTTTAGAGTCAAAAATGTGACTCAATTTTGTTTTGTTGCTCGAAGATACTTGGTTACAAGATGTACCCCAAAATTACAACAGATTAGAGCTATCAAGCAAACTTTCAGTCTTGAACTAAGCATTAAAAAGGCTAGAAAAACAAAATTTACAACCATTATTAAAAACTACGACTAGAACCTAGAGCTAGAAAAGGCTAGAAAAACAAAAATTTACACTTACTGTTTAAAAATGATTAAAAACTTAAATTTAAAAGCACAAACACAGTACGTATATACCTAGCATATGCCTTGTTCATATCTGGAAGTAAATTTAACAGGTCATGACTGGTTTCAAAGACTAGAATGGAAAAGGTTATTTTCCTGGTTACAGAAAGACTGTCAACATTTTGAACTCCATGCAAATACACAATGTATGCAATCCCCCTAATAGCAAATGACAATTCCACCAATATTTCTCATTATGCAAGCGTTTCGACAATCAACCAATCAGATTGAGTAGTGATGTTACTGGCCAGCTTTCAGTGGCGTCTTGATTTGGACATCTCCATTTAAGAGGAGATGGGTTAAATTCAGGCTTATTTCGCCCATGAAATTTCCCAATGTTATGTCATAGTGGTGCTGTGTCAGCAAAGAAATGTATTAAATGTATAGTCTTGAACGTTATTGTGTCAAGCAGAAAAGTGAGTACTCCATGTTGCGACAGTAATAGGACTGGGACTTTGCTGTTTGCTCAGTGTCTTCTTCTCCAACGGCCATAATACAGTGAACATTCCTAAATTATTTTACATGTTCACAGTTTTCTTGGCTCAATACTAACTGTTTAACCACTATGAGTGTCAGTTTAAAAAGCTTTGTAAATTCAGTTTTATATTGATGAGGTTCTCCTGGGGGAAGTGCGTACGTCCCCAGGCTGAAATTTAAAATACAGTTGTTTGGCGTTTTGAGGAGTAGGCCATGTCCCTGTCAGGTTTTAATCCATCTTTGTGTCGTTTGACACCATTTTCATTTTTTCATTCACCATTTTCACCATTTATGTCACTGTTTCAAGGCCATGTTGCTTGCCGGAATTTTTAACAGGGCCTTCTTGATAAATGAAATGATATTATTATCTTCATGTGAAAGAACTGCTAGAGAGGTTTAATAATATACTGTTAATGTACAGTGTAGCTAAATATCTTGTTTTTTATTGAGGCTTACATTATTAATTTTGTTTTGCTTTATTTTTTTCAGATAATCAAAGTTGAGACTGTTACTGCTGCAAACCCCAGCAACAGGCTTACCAGATTCCTCATAAATAAAAATATTGTTAGAATAATATAGGTGGCTCTTTTTTTTCATATCTAATCCAAGTGACAATTTTTAAAACTTTACTGTTTGTTTTACTGAAATGACTTCATGAATGTGTCAGTTTGCTTCCAACACTATGTAAAATAAAGTGTTCCATTGTAAGATGTTTGCTTTTTATCTGACTTAAGGAAGAATAAGGTGATGGAAGGATGCTCTTTCACTCAATGACACCTTCAAAGTTACCCCAAAATGACCGTTTTAGAACAGAGAGGACAAAGCAGCACATCGCTGTACAGGCGCGGGCCATTTAAGGGAGTACACCCCCCCGGGCTTGTCCTCTCGCCTCTTATATTTATTGTGGCCTTCCAATCTTAATTTTTTTTAAAAATAAAACACAAACAGCCGTGATAAACATTGTGAGTTTTCGCATTTTTATAAACTCGACGTTTCGTATGCTATTCAACATACATTTTCAAAAGTGGTCGTTAACTAAAATGACGAGAATATATATTCAAAAATTATAAGGGGTCTGAAATGAGATTAAGAATTTTTACTAAAATTCTTTAACAGTAATGAATACAAAAGGCAACACCTAATAAAGCAACAGCTTTTCACTGTAGATGTTTATATTTTTTTTTTGTAATTTTTGATTATGTAGTCTCGTTCGGTCACTTAAGATCACTTTTGAAAATGTATGTTAAATAGCATTCGAAACGTCAAGTTTATACAAATGCGAAAACTCTCAAATGTTTTCGCTGTTTTTGTTTATTTTTTATGAAACGATGGCCCAAGAACAAAAGTGTCTATGACACAATCTTAGTTTTACTTAATTTTTTTTACCCATGAAAAAGTGAATGAATAGATTGAATGATACATTGCTTGTCCAAAAATATATTGTTGAAAAAAAAAAAAAAAGAAAAAGGGTCTCAAGCAGTCACGCAATGGTGTCAAAAATACAAGCACAATCCGCCTTTCTTAATTGAAAGGCCCCTTCGTTTCATTACACTATCGGGATTGTCACGACAGGTCAATGTCACGGCTCTGCCACTCGGTGGCGGTCATGCAATCATGCCCGGCCTTTTTCTTTTGTACCCCTGTTATCTTTCACGAAATTAGAACACTTTGGATAACCACTCCGACTTTGGTAAATAGAGGATTTCTATATTGTGCAGAGCTAAGAGAAAAGAAAGGTCAACTGAAGAAGAGCGTCTGTCCTTCATCATATTACACAGAACGTCTGTTTTCTTTGACAGTACGATCGCGATAAAAAAATCCCTGGACGTATCAAATGACCACATGGTAAAGAACAAAAGTGGTTTTTATGCTTCTTTGGGACCTCGATTTTGGGAAAACAACCCAATATCTCCTCTTTTAACTTACTTTTTAGCTCCCTTACTTTCTGGATATTCTGTCCAATGGAAAATATCTAGAAAGGGCATAAATTTTTTTGGTGAATGGTTGTTGTGTGACATCGTTGTTGATCACTGTTAGTTGACACCTCGCATGTCGATCACTGTCTCAGACGACAACGGTGTGGTATTTCATAGGCAAAACAATACAAACCTTTATTGATCTCCGGGGTGTGATGCGATCTATCCGCGCGGCATTGACTGTCTTCATACACGCGCAAGGCAACACCAGGGGCTGTTCACAGAACCTTTATGTTTCAACCCTGTTAAGCTGCTTGGGTTGAAAAGATGGGGTTCTTCGCCTCTAGAATAGCGATTGGCCTCTTTTTTACGTTATGGATTTGCAGAATACAAGCCCAACATGGAGAAATGAGTAAGTAATTTTAACTTAACAGTAAATTTGTCTCTCAGTCACGGAGAACGCAGCTACCCAGAAATTCCTCAAATGCATACTTGAAGCTTGCATGTTTATTTCAGCAATATCTATGCGCGACTTTTTAGTCAATTTTGTCTAAACGCGTTTATTTTCTCTTCTCCTCGTTTTGTGCAAAGATTTCGATTTTTTTGTCAAATTCTAGCTCATTCTTTGGAAGTCGACCGATCATGAAAGGTTTATTGTATTCAGACCCACCATGGAAGGTCTTTTCTTTTAAGACGTTGTGGCTTTTTCGCCCTATTTTGTTCAGTAAAATCAGCTCAGTAGTTATTCTTTTTTTAATCTTTGGATTTCTAAGTTTGCTTCTTTGCAGATGTTAATTTTTAGAGTTATGTGTGTGCAAGAGTGATAAGTCTCGAGTTATAATGCGGAGCACTATAAAACAAAGCCGCATGGAAGCTCTGTGCTCTCATCGAATTCTCTTCTCAGGAAAGTCTTTTGATTTCTATTAATCTTACGTATAGAAAACAAAGCAAAAGCCCTTCATTTGGTTATTATAACATTTGGAAAGCTGGAGAAAATGAATAAAAAATCAGCATTCTCAGGGATGTTTCGGCTGGGATTTTCTCGTATATCATGTTACGTTTTCGCATACCAAGTAACAGGACAATCGACCATTCAGTAAATTCAGGTTTTGCACGAAGGCCTTACGGGGCCGTGGATGGAAGATGTTCAGTGTGATCTGATCACATTTTTGTTTGTTTTGCATGTATCCAGAGCTTTATTTTGCTTCAAATTCTGAGATCCTGAAACAAGTCATTGTTTTGTTCTTGCATATTGAAAATAAACGAATGAATAAAACAGGATAAAAACAAAACAGACATTAGTACATAAGTGAGTGAACATAACTCGCAGAGTACCTTCATAAAATAAATATAAATCGTTATTTTTAAGCAGCATTTTGGAAACAAAAAATTGTAGGCCTTTCCTTTTCAAAGACGTCTTTGCCGTTAAGTTGCTCCACCGTCTCGCAAGAGACGCTTCTGTCCGTTTAATTTTCATCGTTTTCTGTAGATTTGTATCTAACCCAGAATAAATCAAATTGTCATTATTAAGTTCTTAGAAAAAAAACTATCAGAAAATTAATTAAACGCGACTGTACTTCGCACAAAAGAACCGTGTTTTCCCCGGGTGTTTTTTAAAAACAACGAGAGGCCACTGGGACCGAGCTTGATGCATCATCAAGTCGAGGCTGCAAGTGAAAGATGGCGGACAGGCATCGTGACTTATGCTTTTGCGCTCTTGCTTTGAATTTCATGGCCTCTAGGCTTTTAAGAAGGTTAGAATTGGCTATTCTTTCAGCAGATTAATTGAATATTTTGAAGCAGTTGTGGTGTCCTTCGGAATGAAACGCACACTCGTGCTCCCAGAACGTGTTTACTTGATCAAAGTTTGCGTTTTAGTGGAAAATTTATGATTAAACAGAAGACCTTGGGACATAAGCACTTTGTTATTTTGAAGTAATGTAAATATTAACTAATTTTGTTCGTTGTGTCTCTTTTAGTACCAACAGTGGTAGATCCGGTAAGTACACTGTAAATGCTAACTACAAAATTTAATACCAGGAAGAAATAAGTTGATGTGCCTGGCTCATAGTGGAAGAAGCACAAGAACCAGCAGCAGTTTAAAAAGTAGAAGTATATAGTTTTTGGTGAAGTGATGATTCCAGTTTAATTACACATTTGAAGTGCTTCTGGGTTATCATGCCTTTTCAGAGGGCTGGTGTTTATCTCACACTTTTTCTAACTATTGAAGCGAAGCGACCATCTAAGTACGATGAATCTACATTGTAGAAATAAATATTAGGTACAACAAAGAAATGCTTGGAACAAAATGTGAGCTCCCAGTTGGAATCAAACCCACTACCTTCCAGATACTGGTAGGATGGTCTAACAGCTGACCTTCAGGCTTCACATAATTATAGCTGTGACTTCCCCAAAAACCTCCAACCCAGTCTGCAGAGTATGGCAGGTGCAGAAAGATTTTTGAACAACATAAAAGAAAAACGGTCTTAAAACAGCCTTGCACACGCAAGATCTCATCGAGTTCTGCCATACTCTGCAGATGGGCCTTCGACCTGCTCAACATATGTCGCCCTGGAAGGTCAAGGATTTGATTCCCGCTGGGGGCTCAGATTTTTTTCAGAGCATTTTTTTGTTGTATCTAATATTTGTTTCTAGTTTTTTCTTACAAGCATAGTCTACTTGAAGTAATAATATTGCTTCACTATGCTAGTAAGAAAAAACTAGAAATAAATATTAGGGTACAACAAAAAAAGAAAAGGGAAAAAACAGGTCCTTTACTATTTTTTCCCTTGCTCATGCTTATCTCCTTCCAGTTATACTGTATGCTTGTTGCTTAAGTATAAACTAGGCTTGAAGTTGTTTTCAACACCTCCATTATGCAGTTCTGTCCTCAGTGATATGTATACAATGCAACAAAATTTATACAAACCTCATGTCAGAACAAATACTGGTAGTAAAGGCAAATCAATCCTTGGAAGCACCATTCCACAATACCCAAGAGATCTGAATGAGTATGCTTTTCCAAAAAACATCAGACCTTATCTACTGACTGAGAAGTATTTATTGTAACCAAACATTATCTTAAGTTCTTGTTTAACTCACTTCTTCCTCACACTTGTGCATTTTTACTTTTTCTTATCTTTCTTATTTAACTGGAATTGTTATTGATTTGTTCTTTTTTTCACTTTTGGTACATCTAATTAATTTTTGTAATTTTTATGTTATTATAATTATTATGTAACAGTACCCTGTGTTTATATTATCCAGGCATTGAAAGGTGAAGCAGGCCCAGCAGGAAGAAAGGGTCAAACTGTAAGTATCTAAATAACTATTTAGGATACTCTTTCAGTGATTTTGTTAACTCTGCATCCTACATGTACGTCTTGCGTCCCTGATACATTAAAAAACCCCAAAACACCAAAAATAATTCATGGCATGCATCTCATAGGATGCAAAGATTGAACGATTTATCGAAGTTGTTATTCTTATGACCAAATTTTTATAGCCCAGTGGTGGCTGTGTTTAACATGGATCTACTGTAGTAGTGGAGGCGTGTGTGGCCGAGTGGTTAACACCTCGAACTCTGGATCTGGAGGTCCGGGGTTCAAGCCTCGCCCGTTGTGTTGTTTCCATAGAGAAGATACTTTACTCTCTCTTTACCCATGTGTATAAATGGGTACCGGCAAGTTACTGCGAGGTGAGAGGGGGGGGGGAAGGTTTAGGGTTAGGGTTAGTGGGTAACCCTAGACTAGCACCCCATCCAGGGGGGAGTAGCAATACTCCTAGGCATGCTTCATGCTACGGAAACCGGTATACATGTAAGCCCCAGCCGTGTGGGCCTTTGGCTAGTGTGCGCCTTTACCTTTGCTGTAGTAGTAGTAATTTAAACTTTCTATGTATTTAGGGAGAGCAAGGAGCTACTGGAGCAAAAGGAGAACCTGGTGAGCCCGGAGACGATGGAGATGCTGTAAGTACTGGAGAAACTCTTTTAGCCCTGATGTTCCTTGTAACAGCCTATTGTTCTCCCTAAATTTTAGCCCAGCAGTTAACCGACCATTCATGGTCGGTAAGGCAAAAAATATGTGCCAGAGATGCACTTTCCTGGGGGGAGGGGGGTAGTGGAGTGAGGGACATGGTCCGCCCTCGCTTGGAATTTTGGAGCTAAGTTCTCTGAAACTTCATTCCCTCATTTTAGGACCTATTTTATGCAAATCAGCCATTATTATCTTTAGACAACCATTTAAAATGTTTGATTCCAATAATTTTACTCTGTCTACAATGTTCTCTTTCCAAAATGCTTGGCCCTTAAAAAGAAAAGTCGTGTATACTTTTAGTGTAGTACATTTCCATATATTTATGCATTTTCTTGTGAGAATCAGATCAGATCACAACTTGCATATTTTTTAAAACAATTAATTTAATTTTGGTAAACCTTCAAACAGTTGCAAGCACTAAGAAGTGTTGCTTCAGGCGGTAAATTTTTTCCAGTTACCACCTGATAGGGAGAACACTGAAGGGCCTGGCTTTATTCTCTTCACCCCTGGCCTACATGTAGGTCAAAAGTTCCAATACAGTAATAATTATTCTGATAAATATTGATTGTCTTTTTGTGATATCCTAAGGAACAAACAAAAGTATGCAAAATGTCTGCCAAAGAGGTTTCATTTAACCCTTTAAGCCCCAATATCCACATACAAATTCTCCAAACTGATCTTAATACATTTCCTAAAAGAATCTGTGGAGAGAATGTGATAAAAGATCAAAGAATTTTCTCTTCGGTGATCATTTTGTTAATTCTCATAACCTAATCTCTTGACAATCTATGGATATTGTTAGGAGAAAATTGATGTTGGTCACCATTGGGACTTGAAGGGTTAAATGGCTGCACTGTAGAATTTGGTCCAGAGATTAAAAAGTAAGCTTGACAAATCATCTCCCCCTAGCTTGGTCCACATGAAAGTGCTGTAATGATCTGAGTACATTCAGTGACAGCTTTCCAAGTGGGAATCATTCCTACTAGCTGCTACCAATTGGCGCAATGGCAAACTAACTGCTTTTGGGATTTTCCTCTCAACAGGGAGACCAAGGTCTCCGTGGCCCTCCTGGAGAACGTGGACCCATAGGTCCCCCTGGGCCACCCGGAAATCCTACCGTCACTACTGTTGGTGTTCCTGGAGTGCCGGTATGTAGGAAGCTTCAAATGAAACAGATTGTGGCTGCCTTTTGATAAAAACTATGCTGCTGTATTATTCACATGTGATTTATTTTAAACTGCCCAACTCCAAAAATGAATCATATCACTTTCAAAACAATGCTCAGTCACTTTGATTTGAATGGTCACACTTTGGGATGTCATCCACAGAGTCAAAAGTTAGAGCCACCTTTTACAGCATTATAAACAGTACCACTGGAAACTGCTCAGTAGCTTTCATATGAATGGTCACACTTTAGGATTTCATTCAGACTCAAAAGTTAGAACTACCTTGTAGATGTACAGCATAGTAAACAGTACCACAGGAAAGTATTGCTCAGTAACTCATTTGAATGGTCACACCATAGGATTTCATCCACAGACTCAAAAGTTAGAACCACCATGTATGCATAATAAAGAATACGACAGGAAAGTACTACTCAGGAACTTTTATTTGAATGGTTACACCGTAAGATTTTTTCCACAAACTTAAAAGGTTAGAACCATGTTGTACAAAATGACCAACAGTGCTATAAATAAATGATCTACTGCCCAGTAGCATTCACTGAAATGTTTGTACTTCAGGCATATAGTATATCTTCTTTATATGAGGGGCATAAACTCAATAGCATTCTTTTCTTGCTGTACAGGGTAAACGTGGTGAAAAAGGTCCTCCTGGACGAGATGGCCCACCGGTATGTATTTTGCAGACATTGGTAATCCTTTGTAGAGTGGTAATTCTGTGCAAGTGGTTGTCCTGTGCACAGTGGGTGAATTTCTAGATGATGTACTACTGTTAACTGCCACCCTAGTGAGCAACGATAATGTTCCTTTGACGTGTTATGATGAACAAGGGAATCTATGGGATACTTTCCACCCGATCCACAGCCAATGTACAAAGAACTTTGTAGATTTGCAAAAGCAGGATACCTTCTACATGTGGAACAATACATCACATCTTGGTTCGCATCGTGTACTACCCACAGGAAGGTCTCTTTCCAGGATTCCTGAAACTTTCGAATTCGAGCTGTCGGGTTGTCACGTTGCTTTTTCTTCTCATTCACCACGGTGCTTTCTTTAGGTTTTGCCTTTCTCTTTAGCTGCTGTATCGGTGCACCAAAATAGCTTTTGATGCTTCGTTGATCAGCCATTATTCATGTGCTGATAGTGACTTAGAGGGTCTATTAATAAATGAGCAAATCAATACCCCCAAATGAGTCCCAGGTTCCTTTCGGTACTCATTGAAATAAAATGGCGGATAAATCGTAAGTGGTCGACTCATTTCGTTTCTTACTTGTAAGTTACTTTTGCGAAGAGCGATCTGTTTTACACTTTCGAAAACTTAAATGTATACTAATTTCTCCGCTGAAAAAGTTTAAAACACCTTGTTTTTTTTAAAAAATTATTTTCTGAGATTCATTCACTTGTCCTTGACAACCCACTTGTCCACTGGCCAAAACCACTTGTCTGGGGCAAGTGGACACCGTCTTTGTCGCACCCTGCTTACTAGGCTAATGAATTTCTTCAAGAGTCAAAGCTGGGGTTTTGGGCCTTCGCGATAATACTTAACTCTCAATCTTGAGTAACCCTACAGACTTGGATTTTCCCAAAAGGAAAGAGTTATGTTACACACTTTTTTTAATTTCTATTCGCACTGGAAACTAAAGCATGGCTAGTTGAGTTGAGTGGGAGCAAAATGCACGTCAAAACGAAAATGTTTTCCTAAAACTTTTACAAATACAAGACAAATAATGTAAGGGATTGCAGACTTGGAAGAGAAAATACTCTTAAAGTTGCTAGCTCAGAACTCTATCTTGGATCTCTCATTCCATTTGTAACTGGTGGACACAAATGTGAACCTTACAAGTTAGTCTATGGTATCTGTACTTGGCTATGCAATTTTTCAAGTGCTCTTTTGACCACTACATTTTTTTACTTGTTTTTGATTTGGATTATGATTTTTGTGTGATATTATTGTGATACTTTTTATCAGATTTAATAACAATCGAGTTCTTTTCATTTCAGGGCTTACCAGGTGAGCCAGGTGCGATTGGTCCTCCAGGAATCCGTGGATTGCCTGTAAGTTTGAAATAAATAAAATAATGTCCTTATTTTTTGCTTAATATGATAATATTATTTTATCCTTATTATTATTATTATTATCTTTTTTTTTCTCAAATTGCAGTAAGTTGAAGTTTTAATGAGCAGACTCTGTCCTAAAAAAGAAATTGAAAAAAACAGAAAGTTCCCTTGTGAGGCTGTGTCATGGCTGTCTAGTTCAGTTTTGTTTCCCCATTCCTCCTTATTCACTATGGAACTTAACATTAGCCAAGAAATTACTTTCATGTTGAAATCACAGCTTCATGTGAAAAAAGTGACCTTTGGGAAAACATGCACTAATGATAATCCGTTATAGCTAATGGCTTTTCTAAGGCTCTAACGGTTTGCCCAAATGCTCTAACGATTTAAAAAAGTAAAATATGTCTCTCAAGCATCATATCAATCATTACAAACAACAAAAATGAACTTTGAAGAACTGTTAACCTGACAAGTTTTCGAAAATCACAATTGCAATCCATTTTAACCTTCTTCAATTTCATTCATAGCCTGAATTTAATCCGATTACTTCGAGTTGTTATTACTCCCTCAGTAACGTCTGAATCAACCGGCCGTTAATGCTGTCCAGTGACGTCACTAGTCCTTGACCTTTGCTTTAATTCATGCAAAAAGTAAAACACGATTTTCAAGTGGCCAACCGAGAAATATCGTTTGGAAATGTCTGCATGTTACAGAACTGCTTTATTTTTTTTTATTGTAATTCATGTTTAACGTTCAACCTGTGTACTAAATTCTATAGTCAAACTCGGTCGCAATCATGCAATGAAATAAACACACACACAGAACACTTAGTTCAAAAACACAATGATTTGCTTTAATTGAAAAGAAGCTATTTGGTCCTTAACGAAGAAAAAAAAACAAGGAGACAAGAAAGAAAAGCTGACAGAATCATTACAATTGACGGTAAAAATAGCAAGAAGGTCAAATTATAACATTGATCTTAGAAAACTTCGCGTAAACAAAATCACCGGCCGCCGAAACAACAAAGCAGCTCTAAATGAAAAACCTACTGCCTCTCCGCAATGATTCTTCATTCGCAGTTCAATTTAGCATTTCAGTTTCGAAGACTGGGCAATTTTGCTGTTTAAGATAAAGATTAAGCTTATCAAAATGTTTGAATTAAAAGAAAGAATGCCAGAGATGCGATCCGCTGAATATCAAGTGACCGCTAAAATTTTTCATAATTATACATAATTATGCGAATGTTTATACAATCAACCAATCAAAATCACTACCCGGTTTTCGGGTAGTGAGTGACGTCACTGGACAGCATTAATGGCTGGTCGAATCAGACATTGTTGAGAGGAGAAAATGACTTGAAGCAATCAGATGAATTTCAGGCTATTTCGTTCACCCATGTGTTCTTTTGTATAATTATACTGGGTTATTTATTTTCTCTTTTAAATGTGTTGTGCAATGGACCATTCATGGCCAGTAAGGCAAAAAATATGCACCAGAGGTGCACTTTCCTGGGGGCGGGGGAGGGGGGCAGTGGAATGAGGGAATGAGGGAATGCTATTGTACAGTGTACCCTTCATAAATATTTTTGTTCAACAACTTAGATTTTCACATCATTCAAAGTCAAAAGTAAGTCCCCAGAGGGCGAGCAGGCACTGCGAGAGCCCTGCCCTCAACCTCATAAGGAGAAAGTCTATTTATTTTTAATATTAACTTTTCCAGGGCAACCCTGGTGCTCCAGGCGAGAGAGGATTAGCAGGTCGAGCAGGATTGAATGTAAGATATTTGTCTTTGTCCATTATGGTCAGGTCTTCATTTCTTTGTGTTGTGGACTGTAAGTGAGTAATATTTTATTTTCTAAGAATAATGTTTTGTCATTTAGGGAACAAAAGGTCCAGCTGGATTACAAGGCCCACCTGGTCCACCAGGACAAGCGGTAAGACCTCATAATCATATCTTTCTTGCTAGGTATTTTTGAGTGGATAGGATTGAGAATGTGCTCCACAGTGCACATGGTACATGTACTTACCTTATTATAGGAAATTAACGCCTCTTGAAATTGATGCGAAATTCGCGTTAACTTAAGTTGAGTTAATTTCTTATATTAATGTTGATTTCCATGCTGAACGTTACTTTCCATTAATTTGGATACACTTCTCACAGTCTTACAGTGCGGTGGGGAAAATCACGAACACTTGAAATATCTCAGGAATTTTTATTGTGTTAAGACCAATCACAGCACAGACCGAGACACACGAACTGGTCACAAAAATATAAACTTGCAGTTTAGTTTTCTCATGCCTAATTGGCTCTTTCCTCGCAACACAATAACATTCCAGAATATTTGTGGTTTTTTCTTGGTTTTCCTGGTTTGACTGTAACGCCTGTAGACCTGCGTGGTTCGTACAATGTTGAAAAAATAATTCTTGAATTTTAGTTGGTAGTTGTCTTGAAAAGTCCTTGAATTCGGGTTAAGGTCCTTGAAAAATACTTGATTTCTTTATTAGGTCTTGAAATTCCTTGAAATTCACTACCTTGTCTATGCCAGGAATCCGTGAGCATCTTTGTGAGCATCTTGTTAGTTTTCTTCATTTTGAAATGTTACCTTCTCTTTCTCCTTAATCTTCTTTATTTGAAAGTCTTTTTCCACTAAATTTTTTATTAATTTCCAAAACCCTAATCTCGTGGAGTGTTACTTTACAATAATAAGGTATTCAAAATTCACATGTACACTTCAGTGTTTGCCTTTGGATTTTGGGAAGGCCAGGGGGCATTCTGACTGTGATTCTTTAAATATTTATTCAGAAAACACAGGTAAAACATGCTTACCCATCTTCATTTGCCTGTTTCTTAGCAAGTTCAGGATATTTAACAATTATTGCACAAGTGCACATTGGATATGAGATGGTAGATAGCTAATGAAGCGTGTAGCACCGAGTCCAAGTTGGCCATATTCATCTCAAATCCAACAAGCGCAAGTGGAATAAGATTGTTTTATAAAAAACGCCCACAAAATATCGAGAATTCTTCCAGACTTCATTTGTCAAAACAACGATTTGCAGCTCATTTTTAATTTTGAACAGATGTGTACAGTTACCATATTTGGAGAGTATGGTATAATGGCCCATATACCATGATGGCTAAGCCAATCAGAGCTCTAGAATTGCATTATTTACTGATTCAGCTTTTTTATGAAAAGGGATGCTTAGTTTAGCAGATATTCTTCAAATGCAGTTTTCATCCATTGAGTTGTATTCTTGCTGTTTTTGCCACGTTTTTATGCAGTAGTTCAGCCATTGCTTCTTCGTTAAACATGTGACATGTTCCGCCATTTTCAACTGCTTTACCAAAATGATCAAAACAACTCAACCTTGTCCTTTAAGGTTCTCTTCTTTTCCTAATAAGCTTCTTATTGATGCATCTTTAGGGACCAAAAGGACAACCAGGACCAAAAGGAGAAGATGGCTTTAAGGGTGATTCTGGTTTTCCAGGACAGAAAGGACCAAAGGGTACCAGAGGTACAGTGGGTGCTAGGGTAAGCTATGTTTCGCAGGTTATAAAATGCCCCACAGGCAAGGATGACAATCACATTTTTGTCTTGTGAGAATAAACCTAGCCACAACATTCCTGAAAAATGCCTAACAATCTTCCACTAAACTTGTCTAAAAACTCTTTTTTCATTCCTAAAAATCGCATGAAAAGCTCCAAAAATTCTTAAATATTGAATATACATATTTTTAATTATAGCATGGGATAGTCTTTACCAAGTTCATTGTTCTAAACCCAAAAATGTGCATATTGATGGCTAAGTAAATGTCTATATAGAAAATTACTTTAAAAGTAATCTGGGGAAATTTATAAATGCTCAAGTACATGTATGCTTTTACAGTAGGCAAAGTAGTCAAGTTCAAATAAACTAAAGCTGGAAAACTGCAAATAGATTCTTCCATGGTTTTTTCAACTTTTGACATGGATGATTTAGTGAGAATTCATTGTCGCTGCTGATTTATTTCATCACCAAATCACAACATTTTAGTGACGTTTGTGTGGGGCTTGTTTGGTGGTTCCTTACAGAAGCTTTGACATTAACGGGGCTTCTGATGGATTGCGGAAAAAAGTCAAATTTAGTGGGATTTTTAGGGGACAAAATCGCAGAAAACTCAGCCGTTTTTGCAGGAATTTTTAGTGGCAAACTTGGCCGGAAAGCAATTGGCAAATAACGGCGGATTTTGTGGTTATTTTCAGGGCAAATTTCGCTAGAAATCAATCGGTTTTGTGCTGATCGGACCATTGTTTTTGCACATTTCAGTGACGAAGTTTTGACATAAATTTGCGAGTTCATGGCAAGTAAATACCCCCAGTAGCTGAGACAAGTTTCAAAATTGCTGCACAGACATGTATTTGATAAGATTTCTACCGAATTTTGCAGCATTTTGCGTGTTTTTGTGAATTTCACGGGATTTCGCGGATTTACCCCAATTTCGCGGCTCTGCAACTACGCGAAATATCAGAAGCCCTACATTAAGCAGCCTTGTAATCAGAGCCTGAAAGTTATAATTTTACAATATTAAGCAGCCCCAGCCACCTTTTGTCCGTCCCAGTGAGAATTCCCCTATTATATTTCACCTCTATAATGTGGCCACCAAATGTTTGATGCACCATATGCACACACAGTCAGAGACAGAAAATGACGACTGGTTGTTGACCTGGAATGGAACTTTTCAGCTACAGACATTTGCACCTCAGTTTAAAATTCACTTGTTAGTCGAGCTTGCTTAAGCAAAGCGAGACTCTTAAAATGCACTCGTTTTTTTTTTTTCGGTGGGACCTAGTTTGTAGGCCCCGCGTTCCTAGCAAAGACCGTTGAAACTGGGGATAAGAGTCATGATGACTTTCATTGTATGGAAATGAGTCTCGTGATGAGAATGCGGTTTTTTTTCGGCGATGACTGAAATGACGCATGTAAGTTTGGCAATGATGTAGTTTTCCTCGAATGGAGGCCCTTGATTTTCGTGTCATTATGCAAGCAGGATGAGAAAATATTGTAGCGGGGAAATCCTCAGGATTTTGTGGCTTTTTAAGGCGTTACGTTTCTCAGAATATTGTCGCAATTACAAGAAATATACGATTAAATAGATTCACTTTGTTTTATGTATTTAATTGATAGATTTTCGCAGTTGTTAAGATGTGAAGCCGTGATGCACTTCATAAATACTTGAGGTATCAAGTGTTCACTGTCACGTAATTTTTACGTGTACACGTGCATAAAATTTTCGTTCGCAAATAAAATAAAGGCAATGTATGAAAGGCCGCACGTACAATTATGTAAGCGTAAAAGTAGAAACTCACTTAATTTGACATTTAATCTCAATACTTTATGTCTTACCTCTATTTGATTTTCGTGATTAAAATTTACGTACGTTAACGTGCAGGGCCAAAAACGCATCAGTGGAAATCCACCCTAACGTGTCACGGATTGTTTATACGGGTAGCTTTGACTTCATGTCCATAGAATAGAAATCCCATATCGAGCTCTTCCGGAACGGGTTGGTCCAAGAATTCTGTGGCTTGAAAGTGTTGATCATTTTGGAACAACTGATCACTTCAGTGGTTGAAAAAAAAAAAAGAATAATCTTAATGAGCAAAACTTCAAGGTTTACTGGAAAATCAGGATCGAGGATCGGTTAAAAAGAACTTGAAAATAAAATAAATAAATAAATGAATCGTGGATCAGTGGTGATGTGGGCCGCAGACTGTAGATAAATTTCACAGAACATAACCCCGTTCGCTGTACTGAACACTAAATTCAAGTAAACTAATCCGAGTCTGTCTGAGTCAGTGATTGTTTGACGGGAAAGTGAAATTTTCCGGGAAAATGAAATGCTTTATCCCAGTGATACTGTAATACAAGAAAAAACTTTAACAGTTTTTAATTTTTAAGTGTACATTTGCTTTCAGTACTCCTTATTTTTCTTGTTATTGTTGTATGCACGACTCCACCTGCAATGCTGATCTTTTCATCGTGCTGTAAACTAAGGTTGTTACCTACCTACCTACCTACCTACCTATCTATCTATCTATCTATCTATCTATCTATCTATCTATCTATCTATATATCTATCTATCTATCTGTCCATCTGTCTGTCTGTCTGTCTGCCTGTCTGCCTGTCTGCCTGTCTGTCTGTCTGTCTGTCTGTCTATCTGCCTATCTATCTATCTAAAATGCATGCTGTGTACAACTCTAAACATTGTACTCTGAGACTGTACGGAGATATTAAAAGTAGATACTAAGCAGCTATGGAAAATGTCATTACTTTCACGCAATATTGATATCTTATAAAATGGACAACAAATTCAGCAGGAATACGCGTGAACTGAATTAAGTGTGTGTTGTATATATAAGGTTCTGTTAAACTTACACTTTTTTCCTGTGCTGAACATATACTGTACCGAGCCGTATCTTGGTCTGGTACAAAGAAGCTATGTATGTTTATACTGACAGAGTCATGGGCCCCTGATACTGATAAAATCATCGTTCAATTTTTCGAGTGTAAAATCCCTGAAAGAGTATTCCTCAATGGAGCAATATCAATATGTAGAAGGTTTTCAAAGGTTTCACACCGGTTTGAGGCTACGATGTGCGGCCTGTCTCTCCTTGCACTTTTTCTTTCTGAGTATATACATTTACGACATGCAACACTCATTTGCCAGGGGGAGTATTCCAAACGAAAAAGTAGTATAACAGCACCAGGGCCTTTGACAACAAAACTCATCTGGTCTCATCTCCAAGCAAGCGAGACTCAACGCTACTAAGAGTGTTCTTGTTTGTTGAAATACCCCAGTAGTTTTGTTCAGTAGTAGAGATTTCTCTTGTAAGAAAGTTGTGAGTACCTCTAAAGGTGTTTGTTTCAGAGTAAAGTAAAGTTTCCTCTGAAGGTTGTGCTAATTTCTGACGAAGGTGTATTCAGCAGCCAACCTCCACTGAGCAGTCATTTGCCGTTACCCTAAGGGTTGTTCCACTTAATAGAGGTTCAACTGTATTGCTGCAAGTGAAAATTTTAACCTAATGTTGCTTCCCCCAACATTTAGGGTGACCAAGGATTTGCCGGTGAGGCAGGACGTAATGGAACTGAGGTGGGTATAGGGAAATGTCAACTGGTAATATAAAGATCATATACCCCCAGAATCTGTTAGCCAATATTTGACAAACAGATCACCAACAGGCCACCAGACATTGGCCGATACCATTCGCCACTTTAGAGACAAGAAGAAAGTTGGGTCGAGTAAGGTTTTGCCAAGGCCTCTACAACTGTTGCTAGGGACAGCAAAAAATAGTCAGCCAATACAATAGCTGACCAGCAGGTCCCCATTGTTTAACGCGTGCGTCGCAAGTGGAGGTTGGGTGCCCATGGGCCAGGGGGCTGCAACCGCAATACACCCCAAGGCGGAAGAACACCCACAGGCCTACAATAGCTGACCAGCCCCCAGGTCCCCACACTGAGGCCAGAAGCCCAGTGTTTTAAAATCCAACCCCTAAAAACAAATAAATAAGAAAGAAAGCGGAGGGAGGGAGGGGAACCAAGGATGCACTGGACGCCACGCTAGTTCTCAAACCCAACGTAGGCACGTTTTTATAAAGACAAAAATGGTAAACGCTATAACCGCCAAACATGTCACGCAAAATGACCAGACTAAAGAATGTAAAAACATGTATGTCTCCTAGAAAATTATCGGATGCATGTCCACTGTATAATGAATGCAAATCTTTGATGATTTAATGTACAATATTATCTCATAGTCTTCTTGAATGCAAGAAATATTGTATTTACATCAATTACATGTTAAATTGAATGTAAACAAAGTTGTTTACCTCAAGTCAAACTCATGCTATGTACATTCTTTTTTTTAAAGAAGATTCACTGTATAAACTTAATGCATTTATGAGCATGAACAATAAAATATTTTAAATTTTTGTTCATCATTTTTAGGGAGCAGAAGGTGAACAAGGAGAACCCGGGCCTGATGGCGCTGCTGGACCTACAGTAAGTTACTGAACTTAAAAGTATGGTGTGTCACCGCTTGTTGCTATGCAGACTCCTATCCAGCCATGCTTGGTGTTGTCATGAAACACTTACTCATTCTGTGTTGTTTGCAGTCTGTTTTTAGCCACCCTGTGCTGTTTGCAGTTTGTTGTTAACGACTCTGTGCTTCTTGTAGTCTGTTGGTAGCTTCCCTGTGTTGTTTGCAGTCTGTTGTTACTGCCCCTTTGTTGTTTGGTATCCTGTTGTTATTCCATGGTCATCATTTTCTTTAATAGTAATGATAGAAGGAAGACCTGTTTGCCATTTTGTTGATAACTCTGTGTGTAAACTGTATAATGGGACTAAGGAACGCTTAATAACCACCAGGAGAACTTAAAGAGCCCCCCCCCCCCCACTCATTGACGAAGTGCCCTCCTTAATCCTTGTTGATTTTTTTTTTTGACAGGGCCCCGCTGGACCAAATGGTGCAGCAGGACCAGCAGGCCAGCCAGTGAGTTTGCTTTCCTTGGCTTTTTATATTAAACAGTATTAGATGAGGCTGAGTTTGATTTGAAGAATTATGCAAATGGGGGAGAAAGTTATCCACCAGTGTCTTCAATATTAGCAGTTTTTGCTTGCTAACTTTTTGGCACTTGATTTTCCAGTTAATTCCGTGAGTTTGCCGGCTACTTTTGACAACCCTGGAAAGCCAATTAATAGTTCTTGCCTAGCAATAAAATCTTAACTGGTCCTGAATGTATTGGAAAGGACTTTCTTTCGAGCCTTGGTTATTCTGTGGGGCCCAATCTTCTGTCTAAAGGCAAAGTACTTTAAGGTCGGCACAACAGCTTGGCATAAAGTGAAGTGCTGGCTGGAAATCCTCCTCTGTAGGGATCTTCTTTGCTATAGATTGTTACATGATCCATGGTGGTTCTTTAACGGGTCACAAACGAGTGCTGCGAGATGTGCTCTTTCCCTTTCTCGTCCTTTTCCAAATGTCTTAGCCATGAACTGCATTACCTCAACAGGGACCTCCTGGTGTTCCGGGAACAGCTGGCGCCCCAGGAGACCCAGGTGAAAAAGGATCGCGAGGGGACCCAGGAGCGGGAGGAGAACCTGGAAAACAGGTTTGTGCATAACGTGCATTACCTACAATGTCACCACCCTCAGAATGTGTGTTGTCAAGGCAACAAGGGTGGCACATTGGCGAGAGTACTCACCTCCCACCAGTGTTGCCTGGATTTAAATCCTGGCGTCGACCTGACATCATTTTGTGGATTGAGTTTTTTATTTTTTTCTCTCCTTTGCCCTGAGAGGTTTTTTCTCCAGGTACCTTGGTTTTCCCCTCTCCTCAAAAAACAAATTCCAGTTTGACCAGGAATTGTAGACAAAGAATCACTAAGTTGACGTGCTACTTTTAAATCATTCTTTATTTTGTTATTTTATTTGCTTCATAGAGGTTCTTTTTAAAAGGATTTCAAGTTCACTTCTTTGTTGTTTATAAATTGTGTTACTTTCTTGACCTTGTTCATTAAGCAGTGATAGCTGAAGATGAGATACCTGGCTTTTAAGGATTAATATTCAATCCAAGGCTCTCAGTTGTCTTTTTAATTTTTTTTTCTGCACATACAGGGTTTACCAGGTCAAAGAGGCCCTCCAGGTCCCTCAGGAGAGGCTGGTGCAGATGTAAGTTATGTTGTTATTTCCAGCTTATTGTGTCTCTGTTACCTTAAGTAAGTCGTTGCTGTTTATTCTTCTCTCGCCTTCAGTGCTGTTATGCACTCTCATTGAAGAGGCCTTACAAGAAATGGAAGGAACAGGCAACATTCTGTTATGTTCTTTGGGACAGTGTCTAATTATTAGATTGTTCAAGATCGGTCCCTCAGGGGAGAAAAGTTAGCAACGATTCATCACAAAAATTTACAGAGAACCGACAGCAACATTTTCATCCTAGCTAAAATGCTACAGCCAAATTTTTCCCTTACCCAGCAACCAGGCAGTAGGCAGTCTCAGAAATCACCACGAAAGTGACAGCATAACCCCCCCTTCCCTCCCCTTGGAAGGTCTCACTGAACTTTACATCATAATCTCAAGCCCAAGGGTGTCCACATACAGTAGGAGCTCAGGGAATGTCATAACCTACCGGTACATGATATTTGGCTCTTTGTACAGGTGTTGCCTTGTTTTACTTAAGGAAAATGAAAAGTTAACTCTGATTTTTATGTCCACATGTTATATTTAGGGTTCCCCAGGTATGGATGGTGGAGAAGGACAGAAAGGAGCACAGGTACAAAAGCGAAAAGAGATACATTGTGTAATTTTATTATTGAGTGAAATAATGATATTGTTTTATAAAAAATATTGAGAATTCTTCCCGAATTTATTTGGAAAAACAAACAATTTTCAGCTTGTTTTTCATTTTGAGAAGACGCGTACAATTGCCATATTTGGAGAGCATGGTATGATGTCTCATATACCATGATGGCTGCAAGAGCCAATCAGAGCTCTAGAGTTGCTTTATCCAATGATTCAGTTTTTAATAAATTATGTTTTAATTATATTAGTATTTCACACATCAAGTTAATGTCCCTTTGCCGGATCCATTTACTGTTTTTGCATGCTATTGCAGAGGACTAAACAGCATGAGTTACAAGCGAGAGGAATCAGCTATAGATGTAATTTCACACTAGAGCAATTAAGTTTATCTTTCATTACAGGGTGATGCAGGACCAATGGGCCCACAGGGAATGCCAGGGCGTCCAGGAGCACCGGTATGGAGAAAAAAACATTGTTCAGTTGTTCAATGAGCAGTCTAGTTTCTGTTGCCCCAAGTTATGAAAATAACTTTTCAGTGATCTGGGTTTTCTATAGGCACTGATGACCAACAAAATACATCAGCTAATAATTGCTCATAGAAGTCAGCTACTGTTTTTCCTGAAAGAAGAAGCAAATGTTGTTATTAAAGGGGCTATGTCACCCCACCGAGAAACAAAAAAGTTGGCCCGTCTTTTTCAAGTTCTTATTTTTTATTTTCATAATCGCTCGATAGTTAGCGTGAACTGGTTTACAGAATAATTTTTTGTGAAATTGTTTGCCTGTGGAATGTTTTTATTTTACTGTGTCCTCTTATCAGCGGCCGTTGTAATGGCAGAGTTAATGACGGCTATTTTTCTTCCCTATAGTTCACACCTTTCTACTTTTTTTAGAGGTTTGGCTCTTGTTTAAAGTATGCATAATGAAGCGGCTATCAATTTTTGTTCACATGCAAATATATGTAATTTAATTAAAAAATTGTCATTTGTTAAAAGATAAACACGACCGCTTGGAGATTGTTCTCAACGGACTTAGAGAGGCACCTGATTAGATCCTGTTAATGCCATGTTTTTAACTGTTTGTGTTCGAGCATAAAACTCAAGACTTTCCCTTTTATCAACAGACTGCTTAAGTGGCCTTTTGGTTCTTCTTTAATGAAAAACAAAGACTTGATGTCTCTTGTTCTATCAGCATCTAAATTATAAAATCACTAGCGACAACAAGTCTAATTGTTAATGATTTGAAACAGTCCTCAGATCACTGAAACAACTTCGATTTATTTTGTTGAATAAGACAATATGTTGTTGTTGAATTTTTGTTTTGCTCACTAAAGAATGGCTTTTTTTTAAAAAACTTATATAAAATTGTTTTTATTCTTGATCTAGCATAACCAGAGAAGAAACGTTCCGTAAATTGTATCGAAAATCTAAACCCCCAACCACCCCCTCTCCCTTGGATGTGACAGAACATGGGGTTTGTCAGAATTTTGACAGTTGAAAGTATTCAAACCTTTGACAGTTTAATTTGCATAACCTCAGAGCGCATTTTCCAGCTGACATAGCCCCTTTAACGTCAGAGAAATTTTCCCAATTTTTCACACGTTTTTATTTGTTTATGCAGAATTTGTTCACATGCAAATATATGTAATTTAATTATTGTCATTTGTTAAAGGTTCAAAAAATAAACCTAAACCAAAAATGAAAAACGCGCCACACACTTCCCCAGATCACTGAAAGTGGCACTTAAAGGCTTTGAAATTTTATGTTGTTCTAGGGAAAAACATGTTTGTCCTAATTTTTGCGAAACCCCTGAGCGTCCTTTTCAATGTTCTTTTATTATGTTCTTTTTAGTTCTGTTTGTGTGTTACCCCTTGAAAACAAAATGAAAATAGTTTATGTTCAAAAATATTGAAAAAGTAGATCAAATACACAAAGCATATCACCATGGGACAGTATTAAATACACAGACAATTTAAGCTATGTCCACATTCAACACATAGATTGGCCTTTTCACACATTTAAAAATAACATTCACAACATATTGGGCCACAGCACTGATGTCATCCCTGCTTGAGAATATTGGGCTTAATTAGAGATCATAGCTGCTCACGTTACATTAGGTCAATTTCCAAGGCTTGGACAAAGGTCACTCATGTTTAGTGTAAGTGTTTATAGTCTCAGAATACCATTTAGAGTGTTTAAGTTAACTTTCTGTTTATATTTCAGGGAAAAGCTGGTGATGATGGTTCAGCAGGCCCTCCTGGTTCACAGGTTTGTAAACAGTGGCTTCTGCTGCTGCAACACTTTGCAGTAACCCCTCCTTATCATGAGCCTGCATGGCAGACATCGAAAGGGGAGGGGGGAGGAAGGAAAAGGCAGAGGGATTTGGGAAAGGAATGTCTGTTGTGCTCAATTACAGTATCATTTGTTATGTAAAAGCATCTCAACTTGGCTATTTCCAAAAGTAATTGCCCTCACAGGGATTTTGCCCTGGTTTTCTGGTTAGGTTTTAGGCTGTACATGTCAACTTTTTTCAGGGATCAGTGTTTAATACAGGAAGTTCATTGGAAAAACCTAGGTTTGGATTTAACACTTGTTGATTAGCCATATTCAGATTCTTGAACAGACCGTTTACGTTCACAGCTCTTTCCACAATTCTTATTTTTAAGGGGTAATTTGATTTGATGATTTATTTATTTGTTCATTAAATGTTTTTTAGGGTGACAATGGACGACCTGGTCCCCCTGGACTTCCTGGTCAGACTGGTGAAAGGGTAAGTTGCATTCTATTGGGTATTCTATACAAATAACAACAACAACAAGCCATAATACCTACATACAAATTCTTCAGACTGTTCTCTGTATAGAGCATTTTCACTCACGTGGTCAGCATCTATGCAAATTTGTGGGAACAAAAAGAAATTGTTTGCGTGGAAAAAGAGCCCAACTCCCATAGGATTTGTTTGGAACACCAACATGGCTGCCATGTCACTGTTTTGGAACACCAATATGGCCACCATGACATCGTGTGAAAACGCCCTATATTTCCTCAAAGAATTAGTGGAGAGAAATATTATTGACAAAAGATAAAAGCAATTTTCCTTTTCCGTCTGTTCATAGTTTTGTCTTTGTAGGGCTGTGCAGATTATAGTGAATAATGCCTTGAGGGATCTAATCACATACATGTAGTAGCTATGATCATAGTGACACATTTGTCCTTTGTGTACCTTTTTTTTTTAGGGAGATCCTGGAGCCGCTGGTGCTCCTGGACCACGTGGACCTCAAGGACGACAGGTGAGTAAGAATCAATAATTATCATCCCTCTCAGTGTGCAAAAAAAGTCATGTCCAATTGCCTGCAGCTAGTGGATTTTGTTATCGGGCTAGTGAATTCTGGTTTTAACTTACCCGATGGGCAAGTGAAGTTTTGGTTTGGGGAATTCATATTACAGAAGAACTGTAATCAATCCTGCTCAACAAAAATTTTCTGGGGACGAGTTGAAATTTTCGGGCTAGTACATGTTAGCTATAGCTTGCTTGAATGGTAAGCTGTAAAACTGACTTTCTTTGCTTACTACCCTGTAACTCAAAGAGGTTGAATCATTATTAACCTGAAATCATATTTGATCTGTAAAATGTAGGTGTATAGTTTCCATACCCTTGCGCTTGTCACTTAGATGTAACAGAGCAGTCCTTTCTGCTATAAACTAGTAATAACCAAAGGTTAGGGAATACGGTCAGATAGACAAGGTCAAAATGCTCTTGACCTCTGTGCTGTGCTTTGGTACCGTTAAGTGTCACATGATAGGTCAAATTGCACATGATCAGATTACAAGTGGTAGCAAGTCAAAGTGCACGTTACCAGATTGCATTATATACATTCCTTTCATTCTTAGTGGAAGTCCAAATAAACACTAGCTACATAAGTGTTTCTCATGCATAAAAGCAACCTGGAGATTAGAATTGTGGGCTGTCCTGGAAACCCACAATTATGCTGGAAAGTTTGCTTTTAATTTTAATAAGAGGAGAGGTTTTTCTCCGGGTACTCTGGTTTTCCCCTCTCCTCAAAAACCAACATTTCCAAATTCCAATTCGACCAGGAATCAGGTAGACGAAGAACCACTATGTGGATGTGCGACCTCCAAATCGTTATTTATTTTATTTATTTATTTATGTTTGTCCAAGAAGGAGACCTTGAAACACTAGAACAAAACTGGTCCTTCAAAGGTCATTAAAGAAAGATCATAATTTCCTTATGTCCAAACCCCTTTTTAGTTAGGAAGAGATGTTATAGTGATACTCAGTGTTGCGTTGTATTTTGTTTCTAGGGAAGACGTGGCAAGCAAGGACAGATGGGTGCAGCAGGAGCACAGGGTCCCCCGGTAAGAAATATCCGCATACAAATTCCTCTAACTGATCTCTATACATTTCCTTACAGTATGAGTTTGGGGAATTTGATAAAAGATTAGAGAATCTTTTTCTCTGATGGTCATTTGATCAATATTCACAGCCTTTCTTGATAGACCTTTTCACGTTTTCTTTTTTGTTTTATTTTCAACTTTTGACATGGACAAGTTAGGGAAGATCCATCATCACCACTGAAAAGAGCTCCTTGAGATTAGTAAAATTGCTTGGTTTGAAAGTGATTTGTTGAAAAACTAACAAAGATATAGCTCCTCAAAGTCGCAAAGTTTTGCAGACATTAAGGGGACACAAACTTGCCCTCCACCATACAAACGTCTGTAAATTTTCAGAGCTATACATTCGCTCGCATGAGACATATCATTTTCAAATTTGGCAATTTTACTAACGTTAAGGTGCTCTTTCCTGTGATGTTGATGGATTTTCCCTAACTTGTCCATGTCAAAAGAAAAACAGATGCCACCAGTCTTAAGTGAAACATTATTTTGGTGTTACTAAAAGCCTGATGCTCTCTGTTTCTGTGTAGGGTGATACTGGTCCACAAGGAGCAATGGGACCCCCTGGAACACCTGGAACTGATGTAAGTATTGTATTAGGTGGATTTCATGGTTGCCGTGACCCTTTGGCTACATGTACTTCCTCCCCTGTATCAAGGGGTAGAATTAATGGTAAAGATACTGTGCATGCATATGCAAAGAGACATTTTGTGTTTCAAGAATGCCTATTTTATACGTCCAATTATCTACTCGCGAGAAGACACCTAACTCGTTACGAACAAGTATAGTATGGCTAAATACATGACTGTATTAGTAATACTGTAATTCTTACTGTAAAATTCTAGATTTTTTGCAGCTTTGAGATATTGTTTTATTTTTCTTTGATGTGCTGGACCATAAAGGAGAACAATACTACAATCTGTTAATGTAACTATGATGGATTTGGGGTTCTTTTGGCCAAGAAAACTGGACTGAAAGTTTATTCATGTTTCAATGTTTTAATTCGTTGATGTAAAGGCACTCAATAAAACGTTAATTATTATGTTCTTCATATTTTTCTTTTGAGTTATTTACGAGTTTTTAAAACACAGGGTCAAGCTGGTGAGGCTGGATATAATGGACAGGATGGATTGAAGGGAGAAAGGGTAGGCAATATTGAGTTATTTTTTGTTAACTTGCACTAACACCCCCCACCCCCATCGCTTAAGCATCTTTGCAGCTTAAAAATTAGTCTCCCAGGTGGCTGTGAAGGAGAGTATTAATTGAAGAAGACTGGCTTTTCATTTTAATGAGACCCTGCCAGGGGGAGGGGGGTCCCATGTCGCCAGTCTGAATTTTAAAACATCTCATGTCGGTGTTTATAAATGTCCATCGCTTATTGTTGGCTTTGCCGTCACTGTCACTATTTGGCCGAGGGAGGTTGTCTCTTGTCGTGATTTCATTTTACATGCTGTCGCTACTTTTTGGGCCATGTCACTTGTCGGTATTTACCCTGGCAGGGCATCTTTAATACTTCCTTCTATTTAATGCAACACATGCCGCAAGGTCTAAATTAAGGACAGGGATAAAGAAGACGCAGTCAAAAATAGGAATTTTGAGAATTTCACACACAAGTTCAAAGCTTGACCGGGAAAGCCGGGAGCTTCACAAAGGCCAACTTGAGGGAAATAGCAGCTATTAATTTACTGACAAGGTTTGGTGACTGAGTCGAGTGAACAGTTGTTTGAAATGTGGCCCAGAGGTTTATCATTTGTTTGTATCTGTATCATGCTAAGGTTTTGTCATTAAATTTTTGCATGATTTTGTTATCATTTTTTGATATGTTTCTTCTCAATTCTGTGTGTTCACCCATTCAGTGAGCACTATTCAATAAACCTTTGAAATTTCACAGCTTGCGTAAAGTTTCTTGCCATACATACCTTTTAATGGAGATGTAAACCAAAGTCACCGCAAAATGGGAACTGAAATAAAGCCAAAAATCGATAACAATAACAAGAGGAAAATCATAAAACCGAATATTTTTATCTTGTGGAAAAAAAGTTATGCTTTTTCATGTAGACTGTAGATCACAAATTAGGATCGTCTGTTTAAAGTCTCAGTGCAGTCAATGAGACCCATAGGCAGTTGACTGTCTGGTTTAGTAAAATTATTGTTTTCATACAAAGTACATTATTCCTATCTAGTGTAAGCAGCCCATTGAATTTACCTTTTGGCGAGTCTACCTGGTCTAGCAGTGAAGAATATCTTCCATCCAATTCTACCAACTGATCTCCATACATTTCCTTGAAGAATTTGTAGAGTGAATTTGATAAAGATCAAAGCATTCTCCTTTTAGTGATCATGTTATTACCGTAGTTCTCATAATCTTTTCCCCTGAGATGTATTGATATTGTAAGGCGAAAGTTGAAGGGATAAAATATTTCTTCCTTTGTGCAGGGACCTGATGGCGTTGCAGGTGAAGACGGATTACCCGGCCCAAGGGTTAGTTTCATATAAAGTTTGATTTTGGGAATATCAGCTCTTTCTTGTGAAGCTTATACAAAGCCTGGTTGGCAACTCTTCTTAGAATCACTGGTACCTTGTACAGGTCCCAAGGAATGGTGAAAAATAATAATAATAAAAAACCTTAAAATCCAGCTTGTCCCTTGGGCAAGCAGCTCTCACATTTTTGCTTGCCCAGGCCCACTTGTCTTAGAGCGCTTTCTATTTGTCAGAACTGACTGGCCAGACCATTCGCGTCGTAATGAGAATCAAAACTATCCAGCCAGACCAGTCAAATCCTAAATAGCATGCATGAAGGAGATTATTTTTCAGCAAAAAAATGACTGGTCTGGCTGGCAAGTTCTGACTTTTGGAAAGTGGCCTTAGTGAATGATTTAGTTTGAGGATGACAATTTCTTGGACGGTTGTTCATTGGGCAAGGAAGCTTGAAAAGTTACTTGCCCAGCAAGAAAATCTACTTGTCCCGGAGGACTGGATGGGAAATTTTTTTGAGCCTGGAGGTGGTAGCTTTTGCAAATTTCTTGATTTCCAAATTTCTCTTGGTGATCAAACATGCTTAAGTTGTAGTTAATTTTTTATCTCAGGTAATTTCTGGTTTTCTTTTGTTTCTGGGTATGGTAATGTATGCTAATGAAGTTTAAACAAAAGAAAAACAAAAATTACCTGAGATAAAAAATTAACTACAACGTAATATATTAAGTAAGTAGAGGTCCCAAACCACAGTGTAAGATTAAGTTGTGTTGTAACCGAACTTCAAAGGAAATTGTCAACCAAAGTAAGCATTCCTCAAGACCTTTCAAATAAAATGTCTTGTTAAAAGTTCTGATTCTGTTTTTAATTTCATTTGCACCCCGATCATGAGAATAAAGCTAGTAGTAATCTCAGATTAGGAAGTACATTTGAGCTTTTTTAGGTTAATTGTCAAATGTGACATTATTTCCGAATAAATTCATGCTGCATAACGCTTTCTATATGTTTTTTTAAAAAGAAACAAAACAAAACAACTACAAAAAAAAGAAAAAAGAATCATGTACCCGGCAGGAGTCGAACCGAAACTTTCAACGTGTTATGGTAACGCATTATCCATTGCACCACACAACCATTGCTGAGGGCGTATGTCAAATTAATTGTATTTAACGTTTTGTGCCCGGCCAGATCAATTATTCAAGATGGTGCAGAAAATGCAGACGTATGACAAAATGAGTACCACAAAAGGTCACCCTTGAGAACCTCAGGAATCCCAAGTTTATGTGTTGCGTTCTCCTAATGTTGAATGCAATAATATGGTAACTGTTATGTTATGTTAAACAAGATTCTTTGTTCATCTCAGGGTGCTCCAGGACCTCCCGGTTCCCCTGGATCAGAAGGCAGAGATGGAGATAAGGTAAAGTGATAAATACATTGTCGATCTGGCCACAGTTGTACAAACATTGGATAGTAGTATCCACGGGATAAATCACTATTTAGCAGATAAAGTAATTGGCTTCCCTAATGCTTATCCGTCGGATACTGATTTATCTGGTGGATAGCGCTATCCAACATTTGAACAACCGGGGCCTGATCTAAGAGCAGGGAAGAATTCACAGATGTAAACAGAAGAGGTCAAAGGGAAACAAATATGCAGGGCCCGGTTCCCAAAAGGGCGATTAGCGCTAACGTGGGATTAAAAATTAATTTGTTTGACTTTTGTGTTTCCACCTTCCTATGCATTGCTTAGAGTAACATTTTGTGTTATCATTTCTTTTTTTGTAAGTAATGGCATAACACTATTTTTGTTTTCTCAAGTTACATGGTTCTTAGACAAGAAAACCTTACTTAAAATTGGGCTTAATCCTGGGTTAACCTTGACCATCTTTTGAGTAACAGGGCCCAGGTGTTTTAGTATCGGGAAAGTTAGATGTTGGTGACACCGCTGTTATTTTTTCTTCTGTATGGGCAGGATGGATTGTTAAGGTGCACTTTCCATTTTTGTTTGTCAAAGCTGGGTTGGTCTATGTTGGAACCAGATGTCCAGACCAATGAATCAAATGTTTTTCTTTAAATACTAGAATTTAACATTATAGTAAACAAAAGATAATTTTTACAATGGTATGTGTTGGATAGGCTTTGCAATTTGAACAAAAGGAAGAAAAGACTTACTTTAAAAAATGCAAACCAAAGGTCCTCACGCCTTTCTGCTTGTCTTTATCAGGCAACGGTTTCAATTTGGTCTGCGGGACTATAAGGAGAAGAGTGATTTTTTGTGAAAGAACCAAGTCCATTTAAATGCTCATTCTTCATGTTGAATTCGTTTGTGTGAACAAAATTTTGTTGTCCATTTGCACAAAATTAATGAAAAGCAGATTGATCCATGCCAGGGCAAGAAGAACTTAATGGAGAGTTTTGCATATGAAGTGTGCTTTGTTGTTATGTAATGGATCCTAACTGAGATTGTCAAAAGAGCTGTACATAATGGATAATAATAATGACTCCAGTCTCAGTTGACTCTTCACACCTTAGCTGCCTGGAACTGCCTTGTACCTGCACAGACTTCTAACTTGTGCCAGAATCAAAGAGATCTTCCAAATCAGGGAGGCAAGATAGAGTGACAGCTGTACATTGGAATTATGAGCAAAAACCTATCATGGTGCTTTATTTGCAAACAACATTTTGGGTCATTTGAGGATGGTGACCAGAAAAAACCTTGACTATCTTTTATCTACATTTTTTGTTAAAATTTGAATGAGCTAACATAGGCACAAGAAAAATGGAACCTATTATGACAGAATCCATCAGGAAATTGAGTAATTTTAATGTTCAGTGGACAAGAACCTTTACCAGAATATTTTATGCCATATCGCATTCTTTTTTACGCTTGTCAAGGGCTATAATAGTAATTAGTTATCTGTAATAACACCAAAGACAATTTCTTATGGGAGCCACAGAAAATAAATTTCAAAGTTCACAGGAATTGAGAAAGCACAGGTAAAAACATCATTCGTAAGATTTCATTTAGTGAAAGTTAAAGCTTTTGAAGTTTGTTTTGTCAAGCACCCATAAGAATCTAATCTTTGGAGTTATTTCATATAAGTTATTACAATTTATAGCCCTCAAAAAGTGTAAAAAAAGAATGAAATATGCTTGAAGTTATTCTGGTACAAGGTTTTTGTCCACTTTAAATTAACATTACTCAATTTACTAATGGACTCTGTCTTAAAATGTATAGGTAAAAGTAGAAAGACTGAGCTCAAACTAAATCGTGATTAATTTTGAGCAAAAAGACAAAAAGTTAACATGTCTAATTATTGTCTTTCATTAGGGTGCTAGGGGAAAAGATGGCGAAGCTGGTAAAGCAGGACCACCGGTATGTACCATGAAATATTTTTTTGTTTTTGCAATAACTGTAACAAATTCTTATGCTCCCACTGGCTCGGATTAAGTCATGCTTCCTGCCTGGCTTTTCTGAGAATTTTGACTTTGAAATGGCTTAAAGCTAACAGTTTGTAAATGTGCCATTTGAACCTCGTGCATAAATTTGACTACAGTCGACTCCGTCTTAGCAGACACCTCTTTTAAGTAGTTTGTTTATAAAACTCTCTTTATTTGACTCTCTATAAGATGGACACCCCTGTAAAACAGACACCTAGAGTTAGTCCCTGCCTTTCTTTACTCTCTTTATTGGACTCTCTATAAGATGGACGCCCCTGTAAAACAGACACCTAGAGTTGATCCCTGCCTTTCTTTACTCTCTTTATTGGACTCTCTATAAGATGGACACCCCTGTAAAACAGACACGTAGAGTTGGTCCCTGCCTTTCTTTACTCTCTTTATTGGACTCTCTATAAGATGGACACCCCTGTAAAACAGACACCTAGAGTCGGTCCCTGCCTTTCTTTACTCTCTTTATTTGACTCTCTAGATAAGACAGACACCTGTAAAACAGACACCTAGAGTTGGTCCCTGCCTTTCTTTACTCTCTTTATTTGACTCTCTAGATAAGACAGACACCTCTGTAAAACAGACACCTAGAGTTGGTCCCTGCCTTTCTTTACTCTCTTTATTTGACTCTCTATAAGACAGACACCCCTGTAAAACAGACACCTAGAGTTGGTCCCTGCCTTTCTTTACTCTCTTTATTTGACTCTCTATATAAGACAGACACCTCTGTAAAACAGACACCTAGAGTTGGTCCCTGCCTTTCTTTACTCTCTTTATTTGACTCTCTATAAGACAGACACCCCTGTAAAACAGACACCTATAGTTGGTCCCTGCCTTTCTTTACTCTCTTTATTTGACTCTCTATAAGATGGACACCCCTGTAAAACAGACACCTAGAGTTGGTCCCTGCCTTTCTTTACTCTCTTTATTTGACTCTCTATAAGACAGACACCTCTGTAAAACAGACACCTAGAGTTGGTCCCTGCCTTTCTTTACTCTCTTTATTTGACTCTCTATAAGACAGACACCTCTGTAAAACAGACACCTAGAGTTGATCCCTGCCTTTCTTTACTCTCTTTATTGGACTCTCTATAAGATGGACACCCCTGTAAAACAGACACCTAGAGTTGGTCCCTGCCTTTCTTTACTCTCTTTATTTGACTCTCTATAAGACAGACACCCCTGTAAAACAGACACCTAGAGTTGGTCCCTGCCTTTCTTTACTCTCTCTATTTGACTCTCTATAAGATGGACACCCCTGTAAAACAGACACCTAGAGTTGGTCCCTGCCTTTCTTTACTCTCTTTATTTGACTCTCTATAAGACAGACACCTCTGTAAAACAGACACCTAGAGTTGGTCCCTGCCTTTCTTTACTCTCTTTATTTGACTCTCTATAAGACAGACACCTCTGTAAAACAGACACCTAGAGTTGGTCCCTGCCTTTCTTTACTTCCTTTATTTGACTCTCTATAAGATAGACATCTCTCTAAGATGGACACTTAGCGCCAGTCCCAAAGGTGTCCATCTTAAGAGAGTTGACTGTAACTGTAAAAAATACTTGTTGTCCCATGGGTTGGGATCATCTCATGTCTCCTGCCTGAAATTTTGACTTCAAAATGGTTTCAAACATTCAAACTTTTAATGTATCAAACCTTGTGCGTATTAACAACTGTACGATTTTTTTCCCCAATTGTATAAGTTGGGCAAATTAAGTGAAACATTTAAAACGACCGGCATTCTGTTGTTGATATGGGTTTTTTTTTTCTAACAGGGACCTCCCGGACCAAATGGTATCATGGGACAAACTGGACAGAAGGGAGAGGAGGTTGGTTGGTGTGTCGATTAGTACAAAAGGGAACTTAACCTTTATTAAATTATGTAGACGGCAGAGTTTTCCAGATGATTTGAGGTAGAAGGAGAAAAACAATAGGCACACTGTAGGTGTCAACTGATTATGTGGAAAAGTGCGTCTTTCACATGGCAGAACTTGTGTAGGGGTGATATGTGAACGGGGCAACTCCCCTTTCAATGGAGGAATCCAGGGGCCTCCCCTGGGGTATTTGTTATTTGGGGATTCCTAAAAAGTGCATTGCAGTGTCGTTTGAGCGACCAGGGAAAGAAATTTTAGCTAAGAGGATGATCACCTTTATTGACCCGCTTTCTGCATTAATCAAAGGATGAAATAAGACGGATTTATTCTCTCAATTAAAAAAGTTATTTTTTTTATGAGTATCCGGCACCTCTGTGTCAGCTACTAAGACAGAACTCCACACTTTTTCCCCCAGTTTTTCCCAACTTTATGATATGAAGTATGTTTTTGTTTTCTTTAAGTTGAAATAATCACAGTTTGGTAGAGGACTATTATCATCATCATCATCATCATCATCATTATTATTATTATTTTCTTAGTAACAATGCATTTAACCTTTGAAAACGTTTTTTTTAATCGAAAGGAATTGTAAATAGTGTTTTGAGGGAATATTTTTTGTAAGCGAATTAATTGTAAATAGGGTTTTAATAGGGTTTTAACGCTTTTGTAAGCCTGTGTCTAAATGTTACTAAGATTGAATTTTGCCTATAAACAAGGTCTTGACTTGGTTTTTAAAAACTTTCGACCGATCAGCAATCTTTCCTTTGTTTCAAAATTGGCTGAAAGAGTGGCAGCTGATCAGATTCAGTCCTACTTAAATGAGCATGATCTTTTTCCTTCATTGCAATCAGCCTATCGACGGCACCATAGCACAGAAACTGCCCTGCTTAAAGTCAAGAATGACATTCTGATGAACATGGAAAATCAGAAGGTCACGTTGTTAGTGCTTCTTGATTTAAGCGCCGCGTTTGATACCGTGGACCATAGGATTCTCTTAGATCGCCTTCAGTTTGATTTTGGAATTTCAGGCTCTGCACTTAATTGGATTGAATCGTACCTTTCTAACAGAACCCAGCGCATCTATATAGACGGAGTTCTATCGAGTAATTTTAATCTTAAATTTGGAGTTCCACAAGGCAGCTGTCTCGGGCCATTATTGTTTTCCCTCTATGCTAGTAAACTTTTTAAGATCGTCGAATCACATCTTCCTAATTCCCATTGTTATGCAGATGACACGCAACTGTACATCGCGTTTAGATCAGGAAATGATTTGGAGGAGACCGCTGCTATAACTGCCATGGAATCATGTATTGCTGATATCAGTAGATGGATGCATTCGGATAAGTTAAAACTGAATTCCGATAAGACAGAATGTCTTCTGATTGGAACACGACAACAACTTCAGAAAGTCAGTAACATTAGTACCTTATCGGTTGGGGACTCCCAAATTGCTCCATCTTCTGAAGTTCGAAACCTAGGAGCTTGGTTTGATTCTAAAATGAGTATGCTAAGTCATATCAACAAAACTTGCTCATCCGCTTTCAATTATCTTTATAACATGCGTAGAATTAGGAAATATTTAAGTCGTTCAGTCACCGAATCATTAGTTCATGCTTTTATCACCAGTAGAATAGATTATTGTAACAGTCTACTATATGGCCTCCCGAATTCACATATCATGAAACTCCAACGGATACAGAATGCCGCGGCTCGGTTGGTCACCGGAACACCTAGATTCTGCCATGTTACACCATTGCTTTTCCACCTTCATTGGCTTCCAATAAGTTACCGTATAAAGTTTAAGATTCTACTTTTGACATTTAAGTGCTTATATGGTCAAGCTCCTAATTATCTAATTGATTTCATTACTACCAAAAAGCAATCCAAGTACTCTCTAAGGTCAAATGAGTCTATATTCCTCGAGTTACCATGCATTAAGACCCATCCAACTCTTGGCGATCGTGCATTCCAGTCAGCTGCACCTTATCTCTGGAATGCATTACCTTCGGAAATTCGCAACATGAAGACATTGGACACTTTTAAGACTGCTGTTAAAACTCATTTTTTCAATTTAGCTTTTAAATAGATTTAATTGTTGGCTTTTATAATAGTTTTTTTTTTTTTTTTTTTTTTTAATTATTATCATTATTTATTTATTTATTTTTATTTATAGTTTTTAATACTTTTTATTGTAGTTTTTAATAGTTGCTCATGCTTTAGTCACCTTTAACATAAATTTAATATAACAATATTGTAAAGCGCAACCGAATATATTCATATAGAGGTTTGCGCTATATAAATGTAAATTATTATTATTATTAATTATTATAAACAGAGGCATAATTATTACCTTAAATGTGGCTATATCCCGTATTACTTGTTCTATGTGCTTATGGTATTCCTCCTTTTAATTACCAGTAGTGTTAGTTATGTTTATTCTTTTAAGCAGACATGCAGTTATAAAATAAGTTACGTTAAAGCCGGCGTCGCAAGTGGAGGTTGGGTGCCCATGGGCCAGGGGCCTACAACCGCAATACACCCCAAGGCGGAAGAACACCCACAGGCCTACCAACCCTCAACCCAGCCATGAGCCCCCCCGCGCCCAGCCCCCCACTATAGCACCCGTCGACCTGAGGCCAGAAGCCCAGTGGAAGTAAAACGAACATGTTGGAAGAAGGGGGAGACCCTAAACCAAGAAAGCGGAGAGATGGAGGGGAACCAAGAGAAACGCAACGCTACTAGAACGCCACGCCACGCCACGCCACGCTAACAAAGTACAACGCAAACACAACGTAGGCACATGGCCTGCGCATGCATCAAAGCGACATACCGCTGGACGGGATTCTGCCCCCCATGCTCACGAACAATAATAAAGGCTACAAACGCAAACATAGTCACGCAACAGCGCTAGAGACGGCCAACACGCTACCAAAGAACGCCAAAAACGCTCGAGACCATAGCTCCTAGTCGTTAACTACATTAAATATGATTTAATAGTATATAACTAAATTAAGCCAAGTGTATGTTTTTTTTCTATTGTAGGGTGCAATTGGAAAACCGGGTACTACTGGGCCCCCAGGCCCTAAAGGACCCCAGGTATGAAGGGATCAATATATATTTCAGGGAAACTGCCCACCTACCTCTCCCCTAAGCCAACATTAAAACTTACTTCTCCCTAAAGGCAAAATGTTGGCTTAAGGGAGGGGTAGGTGGGCACTGAATGGATTTGTGTTGTTTATCTTTTGCGCAAACCGTATTTATGTAAACGCTGCGGCGTTAATAAAATTTTTGCATTTTCAATCCGGCGTTTATCCAAGGACGGCGTTTATTCGAGGGCGGTGTTTCCAATCCCCCGCTCAGCGCTTTGAAATCTGCCATTTGTTGGCTTTCCTATTGAGCCTCTGTTTTACGGCTACAGTTAAAAGGATCCCAGAGGAAGTTATTATCACCCCATTCATACGCGATATCAGCAGAGAGATTCTCCTGTTGTGGTCTTCATAAGTTGTATTGTACTTGTCAGACTCCTTGTTGGAAGTTACTAAAATAATTTGTTTTAAAGGCAGTCCATCTTTTATGATCAACTCCCTAACTCTGGATCGGTCATCCAATGGCCGTACAAAGATCTGAAACTCAACGCCGCTAAGAGGAAAAGGCGATTTCGGATGCGCGAGAAGCTTCTCCCTCGCGCCCAAATTTCCTACCCCTCCTCCCTCTCGCGTGGTCTCATGCCTAAATTCCCTACCCCTCCTCCCTCGCGCGCAGTTTCATGCCTAAATTCCTCACCCTTCCTCCCTCGGGCGCGGTCTCATGCCTAAATTCCCTACCCCTCCTCCATCGCGCGCAGTCTCATGCCTAAATTCCCTACCCTTCCTCCCTCGCGCAGTCTCATGCCTAAATTCCCCACCCTTCCTCCCTCGCGCGCGGTCTCATGCCTAAATTCCCTACCCTTCCTCCCTTGCGCACGGTCTCATGGCTAAATTTCCTACCCCTCCTCCCTCTTGCGCAGTCTCATGCCTAAATTCCTTACCCCTCCTCCATCGCGCGCAGTCTCATGCCTAAATTCCCTACCCCTCCTCCCTCGCGGGCAGTCTCATGCCTAAATTCCCTACCCCTCCTCCGTCTCGCGCGGTCTCGCGCCCAAATTCCCTTCCCCTTCCTTTTCGAACGCCCGCCATGCGGGCTACACAAGAGCATTCCAAGGCGCCCTATACCTTACCGGAAGTATAGAAGAGCATTTCAAGGTGCCGTATATCTTACCGGAAGTGTAGAAGAACATTCCAAGGTGCCCTTTACCTTACCGGAAGTGTAGAAGAGCATTTCAAGGTGCCCTTTACCTTACCGGAAGTGCTGGAGAGCGTAATGATCAGCATGTTTATCCCTACTGAAAGCCAAGTTTTTCTTTCCCCGTCACCTGTAAAAAAAACTCCCAATAAATATCGTTGTTTGGTTGATGTGTTGTGTGTTCGTGACAGGGAGCTCGTGGTGACTTCGGAGAACGTGGAGAAGCTGGACAAGCAGGCGCTGATGTAAGTAGCGTGTTTGTGGACTGTTTTTTAATCATTTGAAGGTGGTTTTTTTGTTAATCAACCTATCTCAGTGATTAGAACGAAAAATGTGCCACAACCCTCCCATGTAAATACAGCTGAACGTCCGGCCATTAAAGTCCCGAAAAAATTGTAAAAAAGAATGGGGAATTAGACCTCTATTACACGATAAGCGGCTGCAGCGCCACCTCTTATCCTTTGTTGCTAGCAGAAAAGCGGCACTTCGTTGCTCCCTGTTCCACAAGCAGCAAAGGAAATAGGAGATGTCTGTACGCACGCTATGTGATTGTGCCACTGTTAGTTAACTGTATAGTGCAACTTCTAGTAACTTGCTTTTTCATGGTAGGTTCATTTTCTGCTTTATTATAATTTGTGATCTTAGGGTGCACCAGGTCTTAGAGGTTTCCCTGGTCCAGTTGGTACTCCTGGTCTAACAGTAAGTGAAAAAGATGTTTTGATAATACATTCAATCCAGCTGTTCCATAATATGGCATTGCACCGTAAAAAAAGAATGTGAACTGACTCATGATCAATGTTTTCTGTGCACAGGGGGCCCAAGGAGAGCCTGGTCAATCAGGACCGCCAGGACCTGACGGAAAGAAGGTTTGTTAATCATAAGTTTTAATGGGCACTTTCTTTGAAACTTAGTAAAGGAAGATGTTTTTATCCTGTCACTAAGGTGATAACTCTTAATTACATGTAATAGCTATTATGCTTCAGTTTTGCAAAACTGAAAAGGAAAAATTTAAGATTATTGAAAACCAATGTTTTTCTGTCATCATTACGGCATTGTCAATGCAACCAGTGTCACTGAATACAGCAGTATATCCGCATATCTGTTTATTGATGTCCATAGAAGTTTTAAATTAACTTCATACATACAGGTACATACAAATATCTTCGCATATAGCATGGCTAATCGAGACGGGAAGAGGAAAACATAAAGAGCAAATCACTAGGAAGGAATTAAGAAAAGGAAAAGACATGGAAGACATGTATATAAGCAGTACAAAAAGATGGACTGAAGTTGTTATAATACAACGTTACAAAATTACAAACTTATTTTAAGGTGGTGTTACACGAGGCGATTCGCAAAGACGATTTTTAGCGCAACACAGCGTTGCAACATTGTTGCGACTTTGTGTCGAATGTTACAACCTTGTTCCAGCATTGCAACGCTGTGTTGCGCTAAAAATCGTGTAACATCACCTTTACCTTGTGTTATCTTGCTTAATTTATTAATTAAAATAAGTGTGTCAACATAAGTATCCTCCAATTCCAAAATATGTAAAAGGAGCTAATGTAAAGAAGCCTTAGAACTGTGTTCAGGGAGTACTCGGATAGTTTGAGGAATCTAGAAAATGAATATTTGGAGCGATTTGTCCTGGAATATTGAATGTAAAGACTAGCAGTCTCGGAAAACCTAGTGTTGTAGCTATGCTATGCATTTATACAGCTTGTAAGTCATCTGTTACTGTCCTCCAGATTTACATTGCAAAACGTTTAACAGTTAAATGTATGATTTAAAAACAAATTCTCTTCTACAAATTGAATCTGGACTTGTGTTCTTAGAAAGTTAAATGTATTTATGTCTCTCTGCAAATGAAACTATCTGTGTATACTGTACTTTTTGTACCTTTTATTTGAAAATTGAACCTTAATTAATGTTACTGATCATTATTTGTCAGGGACCACCTGGAGAACGTGGGCAAGATGGGCTCCCAGGAGACCCTGTAAGTTTTACTAGTCCTTTCTATGAGCTGTACTGATATGAGAACAGAAGTAACCGGCTACAGAAGGCCTCTCAGTCTTAACTGCTGGCATGCCTTGCAAGCGACAGTAAAGATCTGGTAGTGAAGGGGCATGCACACTGTAACTTGTGAGCAACGTACAGCTAACTAGCCTGCGCTATAGACGTTTGCAAGCCAGCGCGGAAATCCTGTACCATGGATGGCTTATTAGGGTGTTCTTTCAGCATCGGAGATCGGAGAATTATCCAGTTACTACACTGAATTCTCCGGCTAGTGTTCGGTGGCCTAAGGCAGTTTTTTATTCAGACGTGGAGCCGCTTTCAAAATTCTCCGGTAATGTTTCATCTTTCTACTGCTACTAGAATTCTTAATGAAAACCCTGGCTTATTGAAAAAGCCCGTGTCGATTTGCCAAGGGAAATTCGAAACGCACTTGTGGTAATTCGTTGAGTCCGCTTGGGCTCAGAACAAGAATATTAGAGAGTTTTAGATCCAAGATTACCGCGAACCTCTAACCGCGGTTTGCGGTTACCCGTTTGCGGTTCGACGTTCAAACATAATTCGATTTAGATTGGCGGTGGATTAAAGAAGTGGATTCTGAATTTATTTTTCCATTTAGAAATGGAAGAAATATCAATCAGTGCAAATAAGAGAAATTTACGGTAACACTGGGTTATCTAGCAGTAAAGAGCTGTAAATTCTTACATTAGTTCTTCTTATAAATTTACGGCCGCCATTTTGAATCAGCAGCCATGAATGGCACTTGTTTTCAAGATCCAATAGGATTTATCAAATTTAGCATTTCGCCCGAATTTGTGCCTCTGTTAATGGATAAAGACTTGCTGCACAAGATTTTCGTATCATTACGTGGGATAAAACAAGAATTATACGTTAAAAGCTTTCAGGTAAATGGCATACGTGAAAACCTACCTCCCCACGTTGAAAACGCACGTCGTAAACCTCAAACGTGACGCGAAAGACTTGTCACGTGACTCCCAGCGTTTAGAGGTTCGCGGTAAACTCGGATCTAAAACTCTCTATTGGCACTGTTGAGCTGGCGTTACTTGCCGGGGTTACGTATAGATTACGTTGGTGAGGCAGGCTACCAGCTAAAGGAACTTGTGCATCCCTTTGAACATCCTACAATACACTGTACAATAGAGAACTTTAGATTCTAAGACGAGTACGACTACGAGGACGAGATTTCCTCAACAGTAAGTAGTGTACGCGCGTGAACCAGCGTCATTCTGGCGGGTAAATGTGGTAGCCGTCGTCACTCTAACAAGGACCTTACGACGCAACGACAACGGGAACGTCAAAAAAGCAATAGGTTAAGATTAGCAAAACAACAACTTTGCACGTGAATCATGCTTGAATCATGTACGAATCATGTACATTTCGTTGCCGTCACAGCACGACTACAACGTGAAAATGTCTAATTTCACGTTATAGGGAGGACGTAAACAAGCTACTACGAAATTTTCTTTCTCTTTCTGAAATTGAATACGGTTTTTAGGAATTCAACTCCAGGAGAGTTCGCCTATATTTGACAAAGTAGGAGAGTTGTAACTGTTGTGATGAAGATTGAATGAACGGGAATTGACTTTTTAGGCGATGTTTTCGTTGCCTTCGCCGTCCTCGGATCTTAAGGTCCCTAATACGAGTTTTAGCGAGAATAGAGGATGTTAGCATCGACAACGAGTACGAGTTCTAGAACGAGATCAGCGATTTTGCGTACTGCGCATCCGTTCTGCGCATCTCCACGTTTTCAAGTCGTCCTGTCAAGTTGCACTACGACGAGTTCTCACCAAAAACTCGAAGTGGGTAGAACGACTGGGAAGAGCTGGTTTTCAAAGGTAAATTCCGATCGTTTAATGAAGTTTCTTTTCGTTTCTAGCCTCTCTTTATCATCTTGAACATTCCTTATATTTAACAATTATTCTTTGAAATCGAGGTGAATAGTGGCAAAATATTTACCGAGACGCGAAAGCGGCGAGGTAAATATTCCCAAAGCCACTATTCACCGAGATTGAAAAGAATAATTGTTTAAAAGATCGTTCTCTAAAAAATGGGAAAAACACTGAGCTCACACATTATCCACTCGCTAGGAGGTGAATATTGTTGAATAGTCCGAGATAGCGAACCAATCAGATTGCTTAAATCACCAAGATCACTGAGTGTGTATATACTAATATGTTTTATGTAAAATACTGCTTTTGAAGTCGAGGAAAAGCAACCGAACGCGATATTTCCTACACAGTTCTATAAACTCGAACTCGGTGTCATCGCTAACATAGAAAGCTGAGAAAACGACTTCGAGTACGAGTACGGTTTGAAGTCGTTCTCGTACTCGTTCTCGTTGTTGATGCTAACATCCTCTAATGTCGAAAAGGCGGAAACAAGTTATCAAATGTTAGTAGTTTTATCATTTTGCGGTCGGGAGAGGGTGTAAAACCTCCTTCACTAAAGGTAACAATGCTAACTTTTCTGGTGAAAAATGGTAAAATGAAGCTTCCCTGGGAGTCTATATTTTGAGAAGACGCGAAAAAACTTCAACTCGAATCTCGTACTCGTAGTCATCCTCGTCCTTGAATCTAAAGGCCGGGTTTCTATTAGCTTGTCGTCATAAATTGTCTTCATGCGATATTTTTTTCAGGGTGCTGTTGGCCCTCAAGGAGAAAGAGGCCCTCAGGGTGAATCAGGATCAAAAGGTGAAAAAGGAAGAGGAGGAGAAAATGGCGTTGATGGAACACCTGTAAGTTTGATCATTCATCTTCTTTAGTACCTAGTATATTTAAAAATGATTCCACGAGTGCGTGTTGGATATGAGATGGTAGTGAGACTATAATCATCTCACATCTAACAAGCGCGAGTGGAATAATTGTTTTTTTAAAAAACGCCCACAAATTATCCAGAATTCTTGCTGCAAAACAACCGATTTTCATCTTGGTTTTAATTTTGAGCAGACACGTACAGTTACCATAATTGGAGAGCGTGGTATAACGGCTCATATACTAGGGTGGCTAAGTCAATTAGAGCTCCAGAATTGCATTATCCAATGATTCAGTTTTTAAAAATGATGGTTAGATAATTATAGTGTTACGAAACAATGTAATAATCTTGTTGGATAAGCACTTCCGGAGTTCCCTTTGTGTCACAAAATTAGGAACATTTAAACTACACGGGAATACAAGAGAAGGTCAGGAAGGACAACGATTAATGCAGGTTGAAAAGGACTGCAGCCCATATTTTGGCTTCAAACTGCTCAGTCTGTCAATTTTTTAAAGTTATCTCTGCTCTTTAAAAGTTGGAATTGGAAGTGATGTTATTTGGTAAACGTTAATTCATAACAAGTGATTGGCAAAATCAAGCAAAATGGAGTAAACTGCCATAGCACATATACAATGCCCTTAAGGTAGCTATGTCACGGTTGTCTCGTTCTTTTTGTTAACAAGGCCAATAACGTGTCCTCATTTGCCATGGAACTTGCGAAATCTCGGAAATGGCAAACAAATCTGTCTTTCAAGCATTATAGAATAATCTTTTCACTGAGTGGTCATTTTTATGTTTCGCTCAGTTCCTTGGCAGTTCCTTCTTTTTGAATTTTGATCAATTTCGTGACACAGTAGACTGCAAGATAGTCCGTATCTTTGCGTATTCAAGTACGCGCTAACACTCAAACAAAAGGTCCTGAAGTGAGGCTGAAAACAGAGAGCAAGACTGGGGAAAGACGCTAAAAATACGCCTACTCGCGTGTGAGGCTTGCGCGCGTGAGACTCTTACGCTATGCTAAACCGATTTTGAGAATAAAACCGACTGTTTTGCTCCCTAGTGACACAGCCCCTTTAAACCTTTTTTCCGTTTTTGTTGTGTTTAAGGGTGAGCGTGGTGAGAGAGGATCACAAGGTTCACAAGGCAATGCTGGAGCAACAGTGAGTAGTGAAGTTTTTGTTTATGAAACTATCTGTGCTTACAAAGGAGAACGGTTGCACATCGTTTAATCAATAGCGAACAAGGAAAGCTTATATGAAAAAAATCATGTTTATTTTTGCAGGGCCCTCCTGGAAGATCTGGCCAAACTGGTCCAGCAGGAGCCAAGGGAGACAGAGTATGTTATAACATCCTTGTACCGCATAGAGAAGAGTAGCGCGTGAAAGTACTGCTCAGTAGCTTTCATTTGAATGGTCTCACTTACGGATTTCATCCACAGACTCAAAAGTTAGAACTACCTTGTACAGCTTAATAAACAGTACCACAGGAAAGTCCTGCTCAGTAGATTTCATTTGAATGGTCACACTACAGGATTTGCTCCACAGACTCGAATATTTGAACCACTTCCAACAGTGCAATAAACCGTACAACGTGAAAGTACTGCTCAATGGTCACACTTTAGGATGTCATCCACCGACTCAAAAGTAAGAACCACCTTGTACAGCATAATAAACAGTACCACATGAACGTACCGCTCAGTGGCTTTCATTTGAATGGTCACACTTAAGGATTTCATCCACAGACTCAAAAGCTAGAACCACCGTAAACAGTGTGGTAAACAGTACCACGTGAAAGTACTGCTCATCACACTTTAGGATGTTATCTACATAGTCAAACATTAGAACCTTCTTGCAAGGTATCGAATACCACGTGAAAGTACTGCTCAGTAGCTTTCACTTGAATGGTCACACTTCAGAATTTCGTTCACAGACTCAAAAAGCTAGAACCACATAACATTATAACAAAAAGTAAAAAAGTAAAACGTGAAAGTACAGCTCGGCACACTTCACCAACACGCTCAAATATAAGAAACACCTTGAACAGAACAGTAAACAGAACCACGTGAAAGTACTGCTCAGTAGCTTTCATTTGAATGGTCACACTTTAGGGTGTCATACACAGACTCAAAAGTTAGAACAACCTTGCACAACATAATAAACAGCACCACAGGAAAGTACTGCTCAGAAGCGTTGATTTGAATGGTCACACTCAGTATTTCATCCAAAGACTTTAACGCTAAACCAGCTTCAACAACATACTAGTATAGCGCGACAAGAAGGTACTCTTCATTAGTTTTCATTAGGGTCTATTTTTACTCACAGTATTTCGTGCACAGAAAAATAGTAATGACTCTTGGAGCTTGCGGCTTGACACAACTTCACTTCTTGTGTTGAGTGATGAGTGTTGGAGTGAAAGAGGTTTTAGTGCACCATTAGGGTTAAACATAGCTTTTATTATTTATCGAAGTTAAAACTTTTTAAATCAGTAATGTTTTAACAAAAATGCTCTTGATATGTTTATGCTCTATGTGCCGTGACTTTGCGCCATGACTTTGTTATGTCTTACTTTGCTAACCTTGTTTCGTGTGATTTTTAGGGTGACCCTGGTCAGCCAGGTCCCAGGGGAAACGCAGGAAGGGATGGAAAACGGGTATGAGCTTTCATTAATAGTGCAGAGATTAAATTTACTGTATTTCTATGAGACTGATAACAGGTTGTGCACACATGAAATCTTCAACTTCCAATAAAAATACATAAAAGAGTGATACTTCATTTCTTTTTACAAGCTTCAAGCTTGTTAGCTTCTTTTGGAGGACAGGGCATTTTGTTTTGCAGAATTTTAGTGGAATATAACGAAAAGGCACATTTGCGTTTGTCCAAATACATCTGTTTATCTTGTGGTCTTTATTTGTCTGGACTGTTGGTTAAAGTGATTAGATGGAGAGTTTAAGGATATATTTATTAGTTCTCAAGAAATAATCAGTTAAAGAAAATAATTCCAGATGTTCTCACTATTTCCCGGCCGCCAAAATATACTCAGGGCTTTATAAACTTGCGTTGAACGTTTGACAATTTGGTAGAGTTCGTAATATCACTCACCTCAGTAAAGCCTCGTGCAAACGGACGCAACATTGTTGGCCAGCAACTCCCAACATTGCTGGATGTTACATGTTGCGTCCGTTTGTACACCCTGTTGCATGTTGTTGGGAGTTGTTGCAACCGTGTGCACACCACTACAACACGGACTCAACAATACGCAACATTGTAGGCGCAACAATGTTGGGAGTTATTGCGTTCTTTGCACGTAGCTTAAGGTTATCGAAGTCAGTCGTGAATTCTGGACTCCAGGTACTGGATTCGGGATTCCTTGTCAGTGGACTTGGATTCCGGATTCTAATCTTTCCTTGAGTTGAATTACGGATTCTTTAGGCCAGAACTCCGGATTCCACAAGCCAAAATTTCCTGCATTCCGGAATCCAGATTACCTTGCCCGAGGCGATATAACTAACAGAATAGAGAGTTGGTTTAAGTTGAGTTCCTTTACTGATTGTTTTTGCATTTGATTTTTGTATTGCGTGAAAGTGAAAACCATCTGTATTTTCGTTTCAGGGATATTCTGGAACGCCTGGACCACCAGGGCCTCCTGGAGAAACTGGTCCACGAGTATGTAATAGAATAATGTTATCAATAAGAACACAGCTAAACCTGCAGTAGCATCCCTTTCACTCCCAACAAAAATTTTGAATTTTGTTTTGTTTAATACTGGAAGGCAATAGTAGTACCTTGTGAAGGTACTGCTAAAGAGGTTTCATTTGAATGGACATTCTGCAGGATTTGATCCATACACTCAAAAGTTAGAACAACATACTAAATAAATAGCACCATGTGAAAGTACTGCTGAAGAGATTTCATTTGAATGGTAACACCATAGGATTTCATCCACAGACTCAAAAGTTAGAACAACATACTAAATAAATAGTACCATGTGAAAGTACTGCTGAAGAGGTTTCATTTGAATGGTAACACCACAGGATTTCATCCACAGACTCAAAATTTAGAACAACATACTAAATAAATAGCACCATGTGAAAGTACTGCTGAAGAGATTTCATTTGAATGGTAACACTATAGGATTTCATCCACAGACTCAAAAGTTAGAACTACATACTAAATAAATAGCACCGTGTGAAAGTACTGCTGATGAGGTTTCATTTGAATGGTAACACCATAGGATTTCATCCACAGACTCAAAAGTTAGAACAACATACTAAATAAATAGTACCATGTGAAAGTACTGCTGAAGAGGTTTCATTTGAATGGTCACACTGCAGGATTTCATCCACAGACTCCAAAGTTGGAACCAGCTTAAGAGACTCGGTTATTCACTGTGGGAGTGTAAGGCCACAGTTAGATACAAATTCCGATTTTTATTTTGCGAAATACTGAAAGACAAATTAATAGTACCGCGTGAAGGTACTCCCAAAGATCTTTTATGTAGATTTCCACAATGCCAGATTTGGTCCATACACTAAAAAGACAGAACCACCTTGACAAGACATTTTTTTTTTGTCAATAAAAACCTCTTCAATCGTGGGGCAATCTCGGCCTTGCTTCTTAATGTTTTGCTGTTATGTTTCCGTCTAGGGTGCCCCTGGCTTGTTTGGTACACCTGGAGTTCCTGGTGACGCTGGTCTTGCTGTGAGTTTATTTCTTTCTTTATTTTTTATTATTATTATTATTTTGTGAAAACGTTTCTGTTCGAACTTTTCTTAAAATATTTTTAATCGCGTTCGACATAGAAGAACGCATATTTCCTGACAAAGGGCTCCGAAAGTATTAACTTAAAACAGTGAAAGTGACAACCTTAGCTTTGACCTCGTACTTTGCTTAACGTTTGCAAAATCTTCTTGTTTGACCGCGTTGAACCCTAGTGTGATGTCCTTGAAATTGGAAGGGTAATCTGTAAAGAGGGATCTTAATATAAAAAGATAACCTTTTGATCCTCCCTTAAGATCCATGATGATGAGAGTGTAAGTAGATTAATTGACTTTTATCTCTCTTTTGCAGGGCCCACGGGGACCCCCTGGCAACCCTGGACTTCCTGGTGAAAATGGTGCAGATGTGAGTTGTCATTATGGAATTTCTTTCCCTTTTTCAGTGCCTTGAACCAAGGGGATTTAGTGGTACTATAGAACGGTTTTCAGGTCATTTTCCATATTTAAGCCTCGTTTTATTAGCGATGTGAACACAAGCGCAAGCCTACGTAAGAAGGCTCATGATCTTTGTCAAGTGAAAATGAATGCTAACGGAAGAAGTACAAGCACAAAAAAGAAGATAACTTGGCCACCGAAGACGGGCTTTCACAGACTTTTGTGCTCGACTAACCTAAGGAACTCAAAGGCATTAGGCATTTAGAAGTAAGCCGGCGCAATGAATTACTACAGGAATTTTTGTATCGCATATTTAGATGGTATATTGTTTCACCGAGCCAGTAATAAGTTTTGGGTGGGATCTCTAAGAAGAAAAATACAATATGATTTATTTTTCAGGGTTCCACTGGCCCCCCGGGAGCCCCAGGCCCAATGGGAGACCAAGGAGAGCAGGTATGTACATTAAAAATATCCATACCACACTCCTCTTTTTACTAAAGACCTTTATATTCCAAGACGAAGCGCGTTCTTTTACTTGGTATACTAAGTAGTGTGCGCGCTTGAACCAGCGTCATTTTGGCGGGAAATTGGGATAACCGTCGTCATTCTACTTCGGTTTTTAGCGGGAATGTCGTAGTGGTGGAAATATGCCTTTACCTCCTTCAAAATTAACAACTATGCGAACATTTTTGGTAAACAATAGTAACATGAATCTTCCCGGGATGTCTATTTTTTGTAAATTAAATCTCGTTTACGTAGTCATCCTGGTCTTGGAATCTAAAGATCTCAATTGACTTCGTCGGACATGCGTCCTTTCTACAAAGAAATTTTTTTTGCAGGCCTGCATCTGGCCAAAATTGTCAATCCACGCCATCGAGGAATCTAGATCTAAAAACGTAATACAACTGGATACTGAGAAAGTGCCTAGCAAGAAAATTTAAAGTTTACTTTTTTCCTCTACTAGCACGAGATATAGTGAATGAAAAAATGTATTACGATACTCTAGTAATGACCTCATATGATTAATGTTACATCTTTTGACATGGAATGTTTTTGAAATGCAGCTTTTGATTCCTCTTTGGTGGCAAACTTATTACTCATATCAGCTGATAAAAGGAAATTTTCGTTTCTCTAAAACAATAACCGTGGAATACGTTTTTTCTCCATTAGTATGTGTCAGCAGGGTTTATTCTAGGGCGCGGCCTTGCGGGATTTCTGCAATTTGGAAAAAAATGCCGCATATAATTCACGTTGCCGCTACAAATGGGTCGCAAAAAAAATAGACCCAAGGATAAGTACTTTTTTAAAAAATAAAGTATTCGAAAACATCACTGACAACAACACTGATTTGACAGCCGTTCTACAAACTTACTTTGATTTGTCATAACCTCTTACTCAATTGTCTTTCTCTTCTTCGTTTGAGTCATTGTTTCACCAGACAAACATCCGGGATTCTGCAGTAATTCGAGCCCAGGCTTTTTCACTTGCCCAGAATGTTTCAAAATGGCAGCAAAGCGTTCGGCGAGTCCGATCCGTTTTCCAGTCAACAGTCTGTACCAATAAGTTCAAATACCTTTCGGGGGACCCCTTCTCTCGAAAAAGGTCCCCCTAAAATTACAGAAGGGGGCCCATTTGACCCTCATTAGCCAATTTCTAGACTAAACCCTGCGTCAGGTTATTGTTGCTTCACGTTTCCCACAGAAATGGTGATCGCAAGTTGTATTATACATGAAGTGTCTCATTATGCTTGACCTTTTATAGGGAGCTACTGGAGATATGGGTGACCCAGGACCAGAAGGAGACGTCGGGCCCCTTGTAAGTTATCTGTTAGCCTCTTACAGCTGTTTTGCTGCCTCGTACCCAGAATTCTCTCTCTCGATGAAAATTTGCGCGCAAAGGAAGGCGGGAAAGAGCAAAGGGGCGAGAGGCGCTTCGCCTCCCTTCTTTACCCTTCCCATGGTCCCTTGCGTTTCGTCCTCAGTCACTCGCGTTTTGCGCTAGCCTCTATGCCAAACCAAGCGAAAAACGGAGCGCCTGAGGAGGAGGCTGGCCGTTTTAGATAACACGCGACGTATCAAGATTTTGGGTTTTTCTGCGACGTCAATCAAACCGTTACCGCAGCATCCACTGTGTTTGCGAATAAAGGCGGCAATATCGAGCAGAAGCTGCAAAAGTAAATGTGAGCGGGAACGTGGCGATTCGTTTTCACCCTCCCATATCTGTATTTCTTCTGGATTTGGAAGCTCTATAGGAACAATCTAAACTTGCCATGTTTCAGTATGAAGATAAGAAACTTAATGCTATAAAGGTAAAACTTACTACGCTTTTCAAAAACACGCGACCGAACCCTGAAGTTCAAAAGCAACAAAACAGGAAGGTTTCAATGATAATTTGTAATTTTGGTGGCTTTAAACTAAGTAGTGTATAATGACATTTGTTTGCATGTTTTACGTTTTGTAGCTCTGTGGTGGTTTTAAGAATTGTATACTTTTTATATTCGTTATTTAAGAGTGAAAACTTAATAAGAGTTATCTTACATTTAGGGACCTCGCGGCCCTAACGGATCCCCTGGTGCCGCTGGACCTATGGGAGCAATTGTAAGTAAAGTCTATAACTAGTAAAAACAAAAGGTTACGGAGTGCGGGCGACAACGATCGAAGATCAAGACGCTTTTGCTCCAGTGCTGTGCTTTGCGCAAGGTTCACGTGATAGATGGTCCAAACATGTGTGATCAAGGTCCAAACGCGCGTGATCAAATGTACATTCCATTCATTCTTAGTCCAAACGAATGCTGGCTACATACATGCGACGCATGCGTAACAGCAACCTGGAGATTAGGATTGCGGTCTCTTCTTGTCGCCCGCAATGACGATATTTAATATTGATTCAATTCTATTCCTTTCTCAGGCCGTGAAACCGAGTTAAGTTCTGGACTTATCTGGACTTGGCTTATCCAATTCCTTTGGGTGGCCCATTTATTACCCTTAGCACCATACTAGCAGAGCCTTTTTTTTTTCTTTTCGCTCGATTTTGGCGTTCTCGTACTTGTTGCGCATGTGCTGCCGGCTTATTGCTGGGATATATTTTGGAACCCAGGCCTAAAAGCCGTGCGCTTTGTACAGCGGGCTCAGGGCCCAAAATAACGGCCGGTCAACGGACAATGTCTGGCAAGAATGGCGTCTTGACCAGCCAAAAGCTTCACAGACTCTAATTCTTGAACAGACAAACAAATCCTCACCTGTAAATCTTAGTTTTTGTCTCTTTGTAAAAATAAAGTCACGTTCACTAAAAGAAAATTACTCAAGGATTAGTTGACGTTTTTCCCGTCATCTTAAAAAGTCAGAAAACGAGACTTGATTGCGCAAAAATTTCTTTAGCCTGTCACGGTGTCCGGCCACCGCCCTAAAATTATTTTGAGCGCTGGAACTCGGCTATGATCATCAATAAACGGATGCTTGCACTTGGGAAACTAGTTTGACGATAGAGAGCATAGACCGATTTTCGTATGACCTTAAAATGAAAACGCGCGAACAAAACAGAAACAACAAACGACCGGAAATAGGGCGATTTGATTGGTTTATCGAACGGATACAAACGCGCGTGACTTTTGGTGGGTTAAGCGAGCGCTGGGGTGAAAATAACGTCATGTCTGAGAACTTTCCTAGAAAACAACCGATGCTTCGCCTTGACGTCATACCGTAATACGACTGGCCAGTCAAACTATGTCTTCTCCATATTAAAGTTTTGTTTGGCGGGAAAACGAAGAAGCCATGTTTTGATCTTTTCATCCATTGGCTGATAAAACAAATAACGAACACTTACCGAAACCATTTTCAAGGTCATACAAAAGCCCCTCTAATAGACTAGTCCAAAGGTTTGGTTTCGGAGACTTCATTGCTTGACTCGATGCAGGTAGACAGCCTACCTTTCTCCCCCTCATTCAAGAAGACGACAAAAGGAGGCTCTGTTAACAGGGTGATTTTCTGGCTCTGTGGAAGTTTTAATAGCCTCCACCAATCTAACCTTGCATCACAGCACCGTGTTTTTCTGTCCTTTCGTGTTCTCTTTTTCTCTTAAGTACACATGCTTCAATGCTTCCACTGTTCTTGTTTTGAGGTTCACATCGATCGTTTCAGGAGAGATTTCTAAATGCTTACAACTTTTCCCCACTATTTTTGTAGGTAATCTATGAGTGCAACAAATGAGAAATTACATTTTGTTGTTAGGGTTGAAAGCGTTGACCTGAATCTAAAGGCATGACTCTAAATCTACCTGTTATGTTAAGTGTAATTGCACGACGCTTTCGTCACAGTTTAACGTGACAGTTATGTCACGCGTTCGCTTTGATTGCTTATGACAGGGTGTACAAGGACCGCCTGGAGAAAATGGAGCTCCTGGACCTATTGGACTAACGGTAGGTGGTTTTGAAGGAGTCATGTCGCGATTACAAACTTTTGGGGATTTAATGTATAACTTGATAAATATTTCTAGTTTCTAGTTTTTTTATCTAATTTATTGTATTATATCTTCTCATAATTGTAAGGCCCAGTCCATTTTGAACACGATGTAATTAGTTTAAATTGAATTTTTTAAAAAAATTAATATCTATATCTTTGTAAAATAATTTCGCAATTCGCTTATTTCTAAGCAAGACGAATTTATTAATAAACCAGACTTATTATTATTAGGCTTGTTATTGGGATCAAAGAAAAACCTGAAATAATGATTCAGTTTTATTTAAAGTTAGTCTACTACTTTAAGTCAACCATAAAGGTCTTTGGCTTTCAATTGCAGGGTGGAAACAGATCGCATTTTGAAACAAACTTCAATGTTAAACTTATGTGTTGTAGAAAAATGACCAAACACCGATGACTCTTTTTTTTTTTTTTTGCCTTAAATAGAATCATTTCATATCTTAACTTACCATTAGTTTACCATCAGTCGTAAATGTCCTCTGTTCCCAAGAGCATGTATTGACGGAAATTCTATCGAATCAGTTCAGTGCGCAAAGCTACTTGGCGTTGTGATCAATTCTAACTTGAAACGACCACATTAAGGAACTCTTAAAGAAAGCATCTCGAAAACGCTACTTTCTTGTCCAACTGAAACGTACGCGGGCTCCTTCTGACGATCTCGTAGCGTACTACTGCGGTGCATGTATCAGATCATCCTTAGATTATGCATGCCCAGTTTTTCACTATGCGTTACCCAAGTACCAACAAGTCGAACTTGAAGGTGTTCAAAAGAGAGCCCTCTCGTTTATCCTCCCTGGGGTCTCTTACAACGACGCTTTAAGTCTCGCTTGTTCATCATGAACAAAGTTTCAGTCAGCTTTTTCAATCAGTTGTTAACAACTCATTCAATAAAATTCACGATTTGTTACCCAAAAAGCGCAGTCGGCCAACTAATAATTTAAGGAGACACAAGGGTTTCGACCTACACAAAACTAAAACAAAGAGATTTGCGGACACTTTTATCAACAAGAGTCGCTCTATGGCAGTATATTCGTGACTTACAGTTGAAATTTTAAGGTCTTTTTAAAATTACAATGTCGTGATTAGTAATGTATCATATTTTTATATTTGTTAAGTTGCGCAATGCAGTTTATTCTGCAAAGTGACTCGATAAAACCCAGTCTATCTATCTATCTATCTATCTATCTATCTTTTCAAGTATGAGAACCGATGAATCAAAATACTTTGCGATAATTTCAGCTCAGCTTTGACCAAAGAAAACTGGAACTTGCCATAGCCTTTAAGGGTTTATACTACTACATGAAAAATTTCGGCAATTTGATTGGCTTGGAGCAGTGGTATTTCACCTTAATTTGAAATACCTACATGTGAAAATTACATACCTTTGCGGGTAGTAGTATAAACAAATAAAACTGGAACTTGCCATAAATACCTTTATTTCAAAATTGGTTCATCCTGCCTAACGGCTCGTAAAATCACGTAATTTCAAACATGTTTCAGCCCTCTCTCCATGCTATTACTTAAATATCCAATCTTAAAATCACTAATTTCAAACATGTTTCAGCCCTCTCTCCTCTTAAATATCCCTCTCTTGTTACACACGCTTCAAAAAGTACGCTCAACCCTCTTCCCCCCCACCTTAAAAGGCCATTTCCGAGTTCCCCCGGGCCTCTGTTTCAAAACGAGGGTAGGTGCTCAGCCTTTGATATGGAAATCATTTTTCATTCTCATGCATTTAAAACTCATTTTCACAAGAAAGGGTCTGCACCTAGCCTCATTTTGAAAGTGAGGGTTTTTGGAACGCGGAAGTGGCTTATTTGCGTTATATTAGAAAATTTTAAGATGATAAGAAGGCTTAAAATCCAAACTGGCGTTTCTATTATTTTCTGTCTTGATGTTTCTTGTATGTTTATGTGTCAGGGCCCAGTTGGACCTCCTGGTGCTGATGGTGAACGTGGTCTGGATGGATCCAAGGTAAAGTCTTGTATCATTCTCTTGATAATAATTGTTTTATCATTCGATCACCGAGTTTGTTTGTAAATGAATATCTTCAAAAGCGAAGCGATCTGCCATTTTCACGCAAGAGCGATCGCAAGAAGGAGAAAATTGTGGTTTCATTTACGCATGAGCAGAATATTATTTGCAGCCAAGCACAGTTGGACGGCATTGCGCACGAGCAGACCATCATTTGTAGGCAGTTATTTGCAGGTAAGGTGGTGTGTTCTCGGCTAATGAAAAACCTGCATCGAATGATTAAAATATAGATTTATTTTCGCCTCTGGAAATTACATTGCATGGCATTATTAGCTCGCTGATCTTGGCGTCAGCAACCACCACCACCTCCCACCCCCTCCCCACTCCCCACTCCAAACAATCCCATAGGTGCTTGGACGGCCACGTTGAACCCAGGCCACCACTCTTTTCCAAAGTGAGCCGCCATTTTCATTGTGTTGCTGTTTTTGTTTGCTTCGTAGGGTGACCCAGGGGAGCCTGGGGCAGATGGAAAGCGGGGCCTCACTGGACAGGCTGTAAGTTTTACCATCAACTTAATGAACTAGAGTCTCCCATGGGAAATAGTCAATTGACATGTTACGGTAAATGCTAGACTTGCTACAAGTCGACCTCTCATTAGTTCTTAAAAGTGAGCGAATCGAGCTTACATGCATGAGGTCGCGCCGCGACCGAGCCGAGCGACTCGCGACTCGCGACTCGAGCGACTCTCGAGGTCGACTTGTTTCACCTGAATGGATTTGAATCATATAAATTCACGCGGGAAAAAAATGATTGACATAGGCAGTGTCGGGAGCGGCGTGAAATATCACTCACTGTCCTATTGGTCAATTGTCATGAGGTCACCGGTAGAATTTTCGACCGATGAATTTCGCGTCAAACAGGTATAAAAAGTCCTTTAAAATGGCATGACCAACCAGGAAAACAAATATAGGACTTGTAGAACGTCTAGGTGAATGCAGAGCCACCAACCCCGGGGAACTCCCATATAAAAGTGACCGGGATGCTTGTCGGAAAATGTAAATTAACCCCTAAGGGAGACCAATGTGGGTGTGGCGCAAGCTTAAACTGACCCGTAAAGGAGATTTGTCCGTAGTTAGTGTCAGGGCTTTTGTTTTCGTAGATTTCTTTACGCACAGTGCTAAGCGATACCCTGAATGGGCAAATATAGTAACCTTCCATCCCAAACACCCTAAGTGGGACCAAAATCTGCAATTTACACCCCAAAGCGAGAAGGGCCTACCAGGGACTTCAAGATCCAACGAGGCGGCGGCAATGAGAACGTCGCTTAAAAAGTGAATTTGCATTCTTTCAGTCTTTATCGCGATTATTCCTACCCACTTACTTTGTCAAATGCAGGCGAACCCTCCTGAAGTTGAATTCCTCGGGACCACATCTAAGTTCAGAAAGAGAAATAAAATTTCGTCGTTGCTTGTTTGCGTTCTCCATAAAACGCGAAAATAGCCATTTTCACGTCTTAGTCGTGCAGAAACGGCAAAAAAATGTACAAAAACGCGTGACGCACGTGCAAAGTTGTTCTTTTGCTTACAAACCCTCATGTTTCTTTTTTTTGACGTTCTCGTAACGGTTGCGTCGTTGGATCTTAAAGTCAGTCCTTGATGACTCTGGTGGGCAGCTCCGCGGCCATGAGTTTTTTCTTTTGCCGGGGGGAGGGGTAGATACATTTCGTGTACTTTGACAAGGAAATACAGACCTTTCCCGTGTTTCTGTGAACAAAGTCACCACTTCAAGATTTGGGGTGACAAAGTAAAGTGACTTATTCGTATGAATATGTCCACACAAGCCTTGAGTTCGTTTCATTGTGACTGCTTACGGGGACGGAACGCGGAAAAAGTCTTATTCCCATTTCTGAACATTCTTTTCACATAATAACCGAACTGATTTTGCTTTTAATTTATCTCACTAGGGTCAAGATGGAAGACCTGGAGCACGCGGCACTCCAGGAGAATCTGGCAAGCGGGTGAGAATTTACTAGCAATCACAGCCGGGGCGTGCCCCCCCCCCCCCCCCTCCTCCCTCAAAATGCGTTGCTTTACATTTCGACAACTAGAACTAGATAAAGACTGGGCCGAGTTAGGTTTCGCAAAGACTTCTGGAACTGTTACTAGGAACAGGGAAAATAGGCCTTTTGCAATAGTTGGTCATGTGATCAACTTTCTGTAAACACGAAGATAGCTCGCTTTTTGAAAAGTTTGTTAGCAGTAACTGAAAGAGCATATTCAATTTTGGTAACCTGTAAATTTTCAGCCTTACATCTCAAAAGTAGCGATTGCAACGGTCGCTGAAAAGTAGACAGATTTATATGAGAAAAACAACTCTTACCACCCGTAAATTTTGAAGTTTTCAAACTGTCATTAAATCTTTCCCTTACGAATTTAAGGGCTCAAATTGCCTGTTATGAATGTAAAGGAGATTTGAGCCCCATAATGCTTAAGGATATACTTAACTACAGTTTAAAAATTTCCAAATTTACAAGGATTTGTAGGGAAAACCACTCAAGCGTGAATGGGTGGCAAGAGTTGTTTTTCCCATGCAAATGCTTCTAATTTTTGTCGGCCGTTGCAATCGCTACTTTTGAGATATAAGGCTGAAAATTTAGAGGTTACCTAATTTCGATAATATTCTCTTTCATTTACTGCTAGCAAAATGTTTGAAAAGCGAACTGTTTTCGTGTTTACAGAAAGTTGATCACCTAATCAACTAATCCAAAAGGTCTATTGGCGAATAGCTGACCGGCGTATCCCCCAGTAACGATCTCATGTACAAATGCGCGATACATCTCGGCTCCAGTCTCCTTCTCTTTTCCAAAGTCGTGAAATTCAAAGTCTATTCATTCATTTGCCGCCTGGTTAGCTCAGTTGGGAGAGCGCCGGCTTTACTGAAAAGGAGGTCGAGGGTTAACCCCGGCCGGACCAACACTCAGGCTCTTAAAATAACTGAGGAGAAAGTGCTGCCTTTGTAATGACATCTGCAAACGGTTAGACTTGCTAGTCTTCTCGGATGAGGACGAAAAACCGTAGATCCCGTCTCACAGCACTTTCGCTTTTCTGGTTTTTGTGAGACATAAAAGAACCCACACTACTGTTTGAATAGAGTAGGAGACGTAGACGCCTTTTTCCCTTTCGTAAACGGTCGTTGCCATTTTAAACGGCCGATGCCACCATTGGTAGATTTGTGCCGGTATTTTTTCAAGGTGAAAACATTTTCAAATAATGCTGTATTACAGAAATTCGTGACATCATAATTCCTCTGAAAATATCAAACGCACCAGTCATAAATATCATTGAAAATATATCGTAAAATGCCACCCACAGGTTTTTTTTTTTAATATCTTAGTTTGAAAAATTGAAGGAATGGAGCCATTGTCTCGTTTGATCATGTTTCTGTTTTGATTGACAGGGCCCACCAGGCCCCCCCGGCCCACCCGGACCGAGGGGAGATCCAGGCGACGCTGTAAGTATTTATGTATTTATTTTCTAGTTTAAAAACTAAGGGCATGTGTAAACTGAACGAGAAGTCGACCGGAAGTGTATTACTTTTTTGTATTCTTGGGCAGTGGTTTCGCCCACATTTTCGGCCGGGAGACAGTTGGCAATACAAATTTTCTAGCGTCATCGCAACATTAAGAGGGAAAAGGCCTTGCTTCCGGTTGGCGTGCGTCACTCAACCACGCTGTTGCTTAAGTTTCCTAATGATGGCATGCGCCATGTCTTTGTTACCTTAGTCACTGACATCAAGGCCTCTTTGTAGGGTGCTGGGGGAGCCGCTGGACCCCAGGGACCTCCAGGACGCAAAGGACCAAGGGTAAGTTGCGAGTGGACATTGTGTTTTGAATCCTGGTTCGGTTCCAGAAAGGCCGATTAGCGTTAATCCAGGATAAAAAATTTTTCCCAGTTTTTGTATTTACCTTTCTATGCATTGTTTAGAGTAACATTCTATGTTATCATCACTGTATCTCTTAGTAAAGATACAACAGTATTTTGTAAGCTCGAGTGACATGTTTGTAGACGAGGAAACATTGCTTGAAATTTGGCTTTATCCAGGGCTAAACTTAACCATCTTTCTGGGATTGTAAATGGACCTCAATCATTGAAAGGTCGTTCAGTATGGCTGGTATTAATCTTAAAGTTGATTGCGGCAGGACCAGCTCAGTCGGTAGAGCGTTTGACTGCAGAGCAGGAGGTAACAGGTTCGTTTCCAGAAACCGGACAAATACTCAGGGTTTTAAAATAACTGGGAAACTTTGACCTGCAAATGATGAGCTAGTAAAATGGCGGTCCTGTCTCTTGTTGGAGAGGTGAACATGGCGTTATTGACACCCAAATAAAGGACGTTTTTCCTTTTATGGCTAATGGGATTTGTTTCACTGCTGATTTCTTGAGGTCTAATGTTTCCTGCTTGTGAAAACTCCTGATTGGATTTATTTGCCAATGCGTTTTCGGCTGCTCTTTGCAATTTAACTCATCAACAAGATGAGGATGAGTGCGGGTGCTTTTCAAGTTGGAAGGCCTTGTAGCACAATAGGCAGCATCGCCTTGAAGGTAACCATGGCAATCAACTGAGCGCCAACCACCCGGCACCGTCACACTGAAAAATTCCAGTGAAATGCTTACCACAAACCATACTTACCTATCCGGGGGTGGGAGGAGTGGAAGCAGTAACCAGCAGATATCTTAGGCCGTGAATTCACAATGATCCAAAGTTATTGAGTTATGCAATTCCCAACTTGGGAAACTCGAGGGAGAATGGGTACAAGCTTTCGGCGCCATGATTTCTGGGATCATTTGGATGGACAAGCATTAGTTATGATTGGTTGATGGTATTCTAGGCAACCATTAACCAATCACAAGTAACGCTTGTCCAACCAAACGATCCCAGAAATCATTGCGCCGAAAACTTGTACCCATACCCCTTCTAGTTTTCTGGAGTCATGGATCGCATTTAAGTTGCTGCAGGCCCGTTTAAATATTTAAACAGTTTTTTATTCATTTTTCAGGGAATTCCTGGAACACCTGGTGAAATGGGAAACCCCGGTGCCGGAGGAGTTGCCGTAAGCGGAATTTTTGTTCATTCACCCGTGATTAAAGTGCTTATATCCACCTGCAAATTCTCCTCACTGACCTGCGTACATTTCCATAAAGAATTAGTGGAGAGAATTTAGTAAAAGATCAAAGCATTTTTCTTTTGGTGATTACTTCCAGGATTTGTAAAGACTCTAAAATTCTTTATTAAAAAGGCCCGAAATTTGCAAAGCAGCTTTCCAGAGAAGTGAAGAGTTCGAGCAAAGCGGGCATGGACACAAAGCGCGAAGGGGGCGAGGGTAAAAAGAAAGGGAAAAAACAATCCCACTATCTCGTGCTTTGCTTTGACTCTTGCGTCCTGTTAGCCCGTTTATTAAGTAATATATAGATTTAGCCAAGTCTAAAGGCGAAGCTCCCGTTAATAAATTTATAATTTACTTCAAACAATGATGAAACTTGTAACCATTGCAAAGAAATCCACTTAAAGTTGAGCCTGTGATCGATTGAGAATAAGTCATTTCTCAGCGGAGATTTTCAAAAAACTTCAAAATTCGCATTGGAAGTGTGTTTATTTGAACTGTAATTTTCGAAAATGTCTAGCGCCATTACTCGATTCAAAAAATGACCGGGACACAGATTTGAAGGAGTTGGGGCAAGCTTGACGTAGGAAACTCAAGAATAAAACAAACCTTGCACGGTGCATGCATGCACGGTGAGATTTTGGAAGCGTTTGGAGGTTCGTTCTTCGCTTTGTCTACTTAAAGCGAACGCCTGGCTGGCGTTGTGTTGTTCAAGGCTTTGAAAACGAAAGTAATGATGATGTTTGTTGCTTTTAGGGGCCTAAAGGATCAACTGGCCCCCCTGGAAAACCTGGATTCCCTGGTCGGGATGTAAGTAAAGCATATGATCAACTTGTTACTAGTAACTAAAATTAAAATTCACGTAACATTTAACTTTTCCATTTGTAAAATGCTTTAAAAATAGATAACACGATCTGAACGTACTGTCTTCGACGTTTTAGGGACCTTACGAAACTGCAGTGGAATCGTCAAAAAGCAATAGGTTTAGTTCGCAAAACATCAACTTTACACGTGCATCACTCTTCTTTGTACATTTCTTTACCGTCCCTGCACGACTACGACGTGAAATGACCAAATTTTGCTTTTTTTGAGGACGGGAACGGCAAGGCGATAAATTCTACCATCTCTGTCTGAACTCGGGTGCGGCCACTCTCTTCAGCTCCAACGTAAATGCCTTTCTTTTAAGCACCTGTCGACTTGGGATAGTCGCGAAATAGTTTATTGGGATGCGGAGTCTATTTTTCAGCGAAGTTTTCATGGACGTCGCCGTTGTCGGATCGTATGGTCCCTTTTATTTGAACGATGACACCGTTTGAGTTCATGTACTGAGTCAACAGTTAAAATCTTTGGACAATCTTAGGACCAGTCCCTGAGTAAAGTGGTTAATTTAGGTGACACTCACAAAAGTGACGTGCTCAATCTTAAGTTAAATACGTAATGTAGAGTTTAAAACTGGCAAACTAACGAAAACAGCCGCGAAGTGCAAGGAAGATACCGCCAACTTCTGAAACACGCATAAATAATGACTCTTAGGTGAAATACATTGAAATATTGTCATCTCGCTAGGTATGTGTGATCCAACATTTATTGATGTTGTTGATTTGTCCTTTAGGGAACGCCTGGTCTGGATGGTACACCTGGAACTCCGGGAGAACGTGGTGAAAAGGTAATTGTCTATGCATATTGAATTTCTCTAGATTGCTCTTCTTTCATTTCCTAAAGAACTGAGAGAAATTGTTAAAAGATCAAAAGCCTTTGGTGATCATCTCTTTTGATAATATGTTGATATAACGTTAGGAGGAAATTGATGTTGGTCACCCTCAGGACTTAAAATACAAGGTTTTCATTTCTTCAAATGGCATTGAACTTGAAAAGATCTAGGTGGCGGCATCAAAATAAAGGCATTCGTCGCGACAATACAACCTTCAGACATGCTTCGCCTGTATATCCCTCATCATCAAGTTTAACATATTTTTAAATCACCGTTAAATAGTATCGCGCGAGAGAGGAGCAAGTTCGAGAGGGTTGTGGAGGAAGAAAAAGGGGGAATAATTCTCTTTCCCTTTTTTCAATCCTTGCCCCACCCCTTCTTGCCGCTGCTATGCAGGTTACAATCTCATCACATTGCATTTACGATATTCTTTTACTAAAACTTGACATATATACCGTGGAGGGACTTAAAGGGAGGGAGTTAGGCCTATGTGATCTTTTCACATATTCAGGCAGGCATGTTCGGTGTTCAGACGAACGAAGAGAAGTTAGTTTAAAAGAAAATTCATTTTTCTTGTGTCGTCACATCTTTAACTCTTACAACTGGCATTTTTTGTTTTGTTGTTTGTTTGTTTGTTTGTTTGTTTTTTTCCTAAGAAAAATTACCACGAAATAGTTTTGCGATCCAGTGGCTTGCACTTAGGGCCTGCTAATATGCATGTATTTTGTGTTCAGACGAACGAACGTTAAGGTTTTGAGCGATAATTTTTATGTTTCACGCAATTTTGTGGCAACTCCCACTGTTTAAATATGACGAATATCGTGATACAGCAATCTCGTTCCCAGGTTCTATTTCCGACCCTGGGAACGAGGTTGGTGACACAGCTCCTCTAAGATCCTCCAGGGCCTCTTGGGGGCTAGGGGCTCAGCCAAGTAAAAATCCTGACAGGAATATCGTAAATGTCCTTTTTTGCATATCAGGGTGCAAGAGGTTTCCCTGGAGTCCCGGGAACTGACGGCGCGACTGGACAACGTGGAAGGCCTGGGCCGAGAGGTGCCATTGGAGACCGTGGACCAGTAGGACAAGCGGTAAAATACAGTCACGTGATCAGTTTTAACCTACTTCATTCTAAGTTTTTTCTCTTTATTGATGTACAATTCGTGACCTTAGAACTTGGGTCAATTGAAGGAATTACGTTGACATGTTGTGCTCGACGTCCCTTTCCCTCTCTCTTCCAATGATTATGTTGGCCTCGAACTTGAACAATTCCGCCGAAAAACCATTACAAAACGACACTGGAAGGGAGAAAGGCAGGTACTAGAGCTGTGTGACTCAACTTAGGTGCCCTTCATTGTAGTAGAAATGTTTAGGAGAAGTTACTGAAAGATTAAAAATCCATTTTTCTTTTGACGCCATATCTTCAACTCTCATACTTGGCATTTTTTTAAGGAAAACTTACCACGAATCAAAAAATGTTGCGATTCAGTTTCTTGCACTTATTACCTCCTTCTAGTGCGTCAAATTTTCATGTCGCAGGAAGTGGACGTCGCCCCACGATGTTTTGCACGTATTGATATATCAATATACGAGTTGTACCAGTTCCTCGTATCTTCTCGTGATAAAGTCTGGTTTGCTGTGCAAGCACTTGTACATGTATTGTTATACTAGTTGAACGACCCACTACCTTAAAAAGGCCAATGATAGTGCCAGGCCTGCCTTTAAACCTTTTGAAGCAGGATGATTATACCTTTCTGGGAAACTGCCTACCTACCCCTCCCCTAAGCCAACATTAACACTTACTTCTCACTAAGGGAAAAATGTTGGCGTAAGGGAGGGATAGGTGGTCAGTTTCCCAGAAACGTACAATGATCCTAAAAGCACATAACAGACTTTCTTGGTTAGTTCCTTGACAGGTTATTTGAAACGTCTCAACATTTACTAACTGAGCATGCCTCACATTTGATGGCTGCTGACGTGAGTGTAGACCTGACGGTTAGCAAACCGGTTTTCAACCTGTATTTCGTGTTCTTAGGGCAGCCCAGGAGAAAATGGAGGTGATGGCGAACGTGGTCTGATTGGAAACGGGGTATGGTGTTAACGTTAAGCAACAACAGCCATCTAAAGCTTCTTTTTCACTCAGAGCTGAAATATGGTTAATGTAAACGAGTTGACACGGAACTGGTTTCTTTCAAACATTTTTAAAACTACACTGTTCGGATCGCCTGCCGTGGCAGGATTAGTTCAGTTGATAGAGCGCTTAACTGCGCAGCGGGGGATCGCGTGTCTCGTGTGATTGAGTTCAAAACTTCTTCAGGATGTAGAATCAACCACACTCAGAATCAACAGCTTTCCATCAGTATTCGCGTAACGCGTAGTCTCCTTTGAAGCCGTTTTTGTCTCGTCACGCAACGCTCCTCCCCAAGAAACTGGAGAGAGCGTTGCGTGACAGGACGAGACCGGAGACTGCCTAATGCACCTCTTGGTGTGAAAATTTCCCCCAGTAAAACATGTTTCATTCGCGGCGTGCAAGTAAGAACACGACAGAAGAGTATTTTTATGTCCTTTTTTGGACTAGTTCCTCGTGTTATTTGAAGAAAAGGCATTAAGAGGAAATAGCAACCGTTTGTTTTGTGCATTTGAGGCATCTGCTATGATGTCTATTCTAGTTTGTTTTAATTGTTATGGCCTTCTGGTCTTTTAAGCAGGAGGGATCCGGCTGTGGTTTTACTCATAGCTAAGAAATGACTCAAAATTGACGCGTTATTTAACCAGTAGCAACAAACGGTGACAAAAGGGCCTGTCTGACGTTTTGCCAACCTTAAAACGGGAAAATGAAGCTTTCCCTCAACACCCCCCGCCCATGCAATGTTGTGCCTTTGTTTGAACTACCAGTAGGAAACAACAAACACTGCAACTTTGAATAGAGGGGGACGGGGAGGAGTGTGGAATATTTTGTTCTCTGAAGTTATGTCCATTTGGGATGGGTCTCGACACTTTTGTCCCCGATTGTAAGTTTTGACATCTACAAAATTAACAATAACTGATCTCTGATACTCTGTGACTATTAGCCAAGTTCTTATATTTGTCAAGTTAACTGCCAACTGAGCTCTAATATATGTAAAAGTAGCTGAAGGTTGAGTTTTGATGTCCGCAGAAGTAATTGAATGCTGAATATTGATATCTGAAAAATCTATTATTGACGAGTTGTGATATGTGCAAAATTATCTGCATGCTGAGTCTGTTATCTGATGTTATGTATGTCATATAAGTTTGATTTTGTGTAAGTAGTCAGTAACGCAAGTGGATGCTCGCCACTTTAGAAAGGAGCAGCACGCAAAGACTTCTGGGACTGTTACCAGGGACGGGCAAAAATTGGCCAATAGCTGACTGGCGTGTCCGTAGCAGCGATCCCAGAAACAATTGCGGGACGCATTTCAACTCCAGTTCCCCTCGCGTTTAAATCTTTATTGAGGATGCCTACTTCACCCTAAAGTACTTTACAGAGGGGTCCTCCTGTTAACAAAGACAAGTCCTTAACTAAACTGGAACTTACTTAGAACTAACTATCAATTAATCAAATTGTTACATTGCGGATGGCCTTTTTAAATTTGTCAAGTGACTTGAGCTCCTTCCATGACTTACCTAGATTTTTCCATTCGTTCGAAGTAAAATTTGTCGAAGCCCAAAGACCCCAGTTTCTGTTTGAAAAAGCCTTACGTACATTATCCTTAGACCTGATATTGTAATCATGACGTTTCTGTTTGTACTCTTGATGTTTCTGTTTGTAATCATGTTGTTTCTGTTTGTAATCATAATGTTTCTAAAGTGGTGAATGTTTTTGGTATGAAAATGGCTAATTATATTATTAACTAAATGACGGGTGATTTTTAGGGACCAGAAGGCGCAAAAGGAGTCCGTGGAGGTCAAGGAGGCAAGGGAGAAAAGGTAGAGTTCGATATTCTTCTAGTGTTCTCTTTTCTATGCCGTTCAAGATTTTAACTTGACTTAGTGGAGTAAGCGTGAAATAAGAGTCACTGAAGCTAATAACAAAACGTACTTACAAAATGACAAAATCACTGCTTCATGTCAATCAAATTTGTCCCTCAAGCTTTATATCAAAAGTTACAGACAAAAATAATGAACTTGAAAAACTGTCTGGCTAACTGACAAGTTCTCAAAAAGGACATTTGCAATCCATTTCAATCATCTTCAAGTTTTCCTATCTGTTCCTCCTTTTGCATTTGCTGTGTTATTCATGTTCTGAGCAGATATTTCTGTTTCATTCAGTTTGGTGGCGGTTGCCACTGTTTGAATTTTGATTGATTCCGTAGCGCAGCTCTTTTACAGTCGTGGGCTTAGTATCCTAGCCTTTGAGTGAACGTGAGGCTGAGGTTGACCTTGTTTTGATATAAACCTCTTTCCTTTTGTTGTGGAAATTATGCGTAAATAATACCAGTTAGCATAAGGAAGACATGATTTACTTAATAAAGCAAGAAGGATTGATTCAAAACAAGGTGAACTCCAGCCTCGTTTCCACCTGTAACTGTAAAGTGGAACAAAACTGAATGCAGAGCTGGCACTACGGCAAAGGGCTGATTTATTATAGGCTAATATTTCGGCTAACAAAATTAGCCTTCCTCAGGGCCTGAGCTATACCGAGAGAAAATGTCTTTTAACGGCTCCTAAAATTGGAATTTAAAATTCACATAAGTGGTTAATAATTGGCTACAATTATTAATACTAGATAGAATAATATACTGGTAAATGATTACACAAGAAAATTATAAATAGAAACAGTTCAATGTTCATTGTTGTTGTTTGTTTGTTTTGTTGTTTGTTTTGTAAAGTGGGCTATTGTCATCTAAAAATCTCTGCCTAATTAGTTGTTTAATAATTTTAGGGTCAGCGTGGTATTGATGGATCACCAGGTCGTCAGGGTCTGGCAGGTAGAATGGTAAGTAAGCAACGATTAAAGTAGAGTACTTAAGATTTGAGGACGAAAATGAGTACGAGTACGAGATTTACATACAGTAAATAGAAAGCAGTAGATAGAAACCTGTAAATGGCAAAATGTAAATAATTTCGTGCAAAGTCGGAAAATGTTTTTAGTATCTTTTCGCTACTCCTTTTTTTCAGTTTGAGTTATATTATACACCACCACGTCAGCTACGCTGTAAACTGATCGTGTTTAAATAACAGATGTTGTTGTTGTTGGTGTTATTTGACTTAAAGTTTTTGCGCGTGTTCTCAAAAAAAAGACACCCCGGAAAGCTTCATTTTACTTTTTTCACTAATATGAAAGACCTCTGACACCGTCTCTATCTTTTTCTTCTTCGTCCATCCTCCATTCTCCTTCACTTCCTCCTTTCATTTACCTTCCTCAACCTTTATTTTCTTTCATTAAACTCCATTTCCCTTCATACACCTTCATTAGCTTTCGTTTACCTTGTGTCAGTCGCCTTTATTTATCTTCTTTATTCACCTTATTTACCTCCATTAACCTTCATTTTCCTTCATCCACTTTCATATACCCGTATTAGCCTCTATTCAAATTTAATAATTGTTCTTTGTTTTGTTTTAGGGCGCCGCAGGAGAACCTGGTTTCAGCGGTGGTCCAGGGACCCAGGGAGATCCGGTGGGTATTTTAAAGATCGTAACTAGTTTGCTGGCTTTGTTTTACTCTTTTATTCTATTCATGGGATGATGTCGCAGCTCTTACAAGGCCCGTCACAGGATTGGTTGGGAGAACAGTAAACAATCAGAGTTAATAATGGGGAAAAAAGAGCTTCGACTTGGAGGAGTCCTATTGAATTAGAGGTTCCCGGCATCGTTAATAACCGGTTATCTATATATGGTTAATGGGGGTTGGGGGCCTCCGCCCCCCAGCCTGCCCCTCCCATTTTCTAAGGAAAGAGCCCTGGGAACGAGGTTAAAACCGTCGTCAACTCTTCTTTGGTCGGAAACGTTTACGTTCCCAGCCTATTCTCCGTAACGTGCGGACCATAATCTCCTCCATTCCCGCCATTTTGGAGCTTTTAGAGTACTGTGGGGTTATGACGTCATTGTTTTCGAGACAAGGAGCGAAGCTCCGAGCATAGTCAGTATCAAAGCTAGCCGTTTGAAATCGAGAATGATTTTTGCATTTGTTTTAGTACAAAAAAAACAAACAAACAAACAAAGCAAAATTTATCGCGGTGTGACTGTCTTCCATTCAAATTTATAGCTTCAAGGTGTTTACTCACTTATTGCTTGTGTTTTCAGGGTGACCAAGGACCATCTGGTGAAGAGGGACCGGACGGCTTCCCTGGTTTACCTGTAAGTTTTTTCTTTTTTTTTTTTTTTCAATCATGGAGGAGCTAGTTTTGTTCTCCTGCAGTTCCTGGTGTCAGTGGCTTCCAGCTGGGCCGGTTCTGACATTCTCCTCCGCAGCGAGGCACGTTGTAACATTTATTACCCCCTCCAATACGCGCTCTCTGTACAGATGCCCGATCTATCGCTAACTCAGTGATTTCCTCATTTATTTATTTTTTTATTTATATATTTTTTTTGTGGCTGCTGCCTCTAAAGGCGTAGCCGCTATTCCCGTCCCTTGCGTCCCGTCCCGTATTCCCGTCAAGTGCGCAGGGAAGTACGAAAAAGGCATTATCACCTTGGTCCAAGACGGATCTGCAATGTTAGTATTCCCGTCCCTTGCGTCCCGTCCCGTATTCCCGTCAAGTGCGCAGGGAAGTACGAAAAAGGCATTATCACCTTGGTCCAAGACGGATCTGCAATGTTAGTAGCCTACGTCACTTACGAAACTTAACTCTGTTATGTCTGTCTGCGAAACAGCGCCGAAAACCTTGAACTGGGTCCCCATCTGTTTACCAGGATTTGAATACGCGCCATGATTAGCCTGTTAAAAAAAGCCATTATCGATTTGCCAATCAATATGAAGGGGAATTCGAAACACACTTCCATTGATTCGTCGAGTCCGTTGGTGGCCCATTAACAAAAATGATATCGCCTGAAACAAAAGGTTTTATTCCTAAAGGGTTTGAATTGGGTACAACATTGATTTAGCCGAATAGGTCTATTCGAAACACACTTTCATTGATTCGACGAGTCCGTTGGTGGCCCAGAACAAAAATATCGCGCGTTGCTTCGCAGACGTTAATAACCGAGGTTAACTTACGTCTGTGACGAAGGCTACAATGCTAGTAGCAAAAGATTCTAAGAATTATCCCGTAAAGATAGTTATCTTTTTCTAAAGATGCTTCGTCGAGTCATGAAACTTGGTGGTTACAGCGATTCTGTTATCTGTTTTTTTTTTTAATCGAGTTAGAAAGGGATGTTCCTACATCGGAATAAGTGGAACGCGTGATCTCACGGAAAATTGCGTCCCGAGGGGAAGCAGGACACGCGATGCGATCTTTCCTGGGGTTCCCTTGCTCTGCTATCGGAACGTTTTCTAATAAGCTAAAAGGGAAAAGATCCCACTTTGCCATCCACTTTAAACAAAAGGGTTTTTTAGGTGATAATTCCACATATCTGCCTTCGATACTCATGTCTTCCTACCTTCTCTAGGGTCCATTAGGAGACAAAGGTCTAAAGGGTCGACCGGTAAGTTGTATGAAAAAGTAATTCGCGCTGTTTGAAACTTCACTGCTATTATTCCATCTCGTTCAATTTATCAAATGGAAGCGAATTTTTCTGGAGCTGAATTTGTGGATCATATTTGCCGCTCACTTTTCATTGCACCGTCGCCGTCCGTAGCCTGAACAGGCTAGAGCATTATCCTTGTTCAGAAATTACCTGGCAGTTAAATTTGAGGTTGGTCACGTGGATTGTACCAGATCGAACACTTCTGAACTTTTTTCATAATAGGACGTTCTCGCTAGACTGCAAAACAGTTCGTATTTTTGCCTATTCAAGTACGCGCGAACAGCCAAACAAAAGGTCTGGAGCGAGGCTGAAAATAGGGAGGGCGTGTGGGGCTCGTGCACTTCCAGCGTGTGAGACTCTTCCGCTACCTGATTTTAAGAAAAAAAACCCGATTGTTTTGCAGTCTACCGTCTTGCAGGATAGGCCGCCTGGGTTTGGGCGTCAGTTCCTACCCAGATTTCTCGCCCCTTCCCTTAATTTTTTTTTTTTTTTTTTCGGGCGAGTTTTTCTGGCCTTCGTTCTAACCACGTTGTAGTGGTAATGAGGAGCCCAAACAACCACGACAGTGACGGAAACGGAAACGGCAACGAGAAGGTCAAAAGAGCAGAAGGCGATAATTTTGCACGAGCTCACACGGTATAGCCTCCTGCGCAGACTTTTGGCGCGTCACGCAATCCTTCCCTCCTTCGGGAGGCAGGAACGCGTGACGAACCTCTGCGTGGGAGGCTACACACGCTTTCGCACATTTCTTTGCCTTCTCTACATAGCCTGCGCGCAAGCTCTCCGGGGCGATCTTCCCACTTTTCCCTCCCCCACCCCCGGAAGTTCCCGGGAGAGCTTGCTCGCAGGCTATCTCTGCATGACTTCGACGTGAAATTTTTTATCAGGAAACAGACACAAATTCGTAACTCATTCATTCCTAACTCTTAATCTAGAATTCTAACTTTTTCTTTCTTTTATTGTTGCCAGGGCCTACGTGGATTCGCGGTAAGTTAAGTACGATTTGCCTCCTCACCTACACACGACAAGATAGTGGACAATGACTTCAAGCCCAGTCTTTGTGGAACGTCACGCAACGCTTTTTAATGGGCTGTGTCACGACTGTTTAGTTCAGTTTGTTAATAATGCCAATTATGCGTCCTTGTTCGCCATGGAACTTAAATAAATTGCTAGTGAATGACCAAAGAACAGCTTTGCGTCAAACAGATATCTCTCTCTCGAGAACCGTTTTTTCATTTTTCCGAGAAACCACAATTGCAATCCGCAATTGCGCAGCGCTGCATACTTTCCACCGCATTTTGTTCGCGACGAACCAAAAAACAGCTGCTAGAAGACCAATATATTTTTCAATTAATAATGTCTCACTCTAGCGGTGTTGATTTCGGTTTGAAATACAAGATTTCAACGAGAAACTTCAAGGAGGTTTTTATACCAAGGAAGGAATAAACATGGTATTTTTTTTTGTTGGCGGTACATCTCGACTTCTGTGTTATTTTCAACATTTCATGTTACTTAAATATTATACTGACATGGGAAACCTTTTATTTTGCAGGGGAACCCTGGCAGACCGGTATGTATTATTTCATTTGTTATGTAATATATCAAACATGAGATGCAGTGTTTCATCACCAGATGAAACACCGAGAAGAGAGTTGAAAATACGACGCGCAGCGGAGTATTTTTGACGAACTTCGAGGTGTTTCATCTGGTGATGAAACACTGTGTCGAATGTTTGATATTTCTTCTCAAACAAAATCATTTTTGAAGGAGAAATTAACGATGCAAATACTAAGCAGTGTTTCATCCGATTTCCAAACACTCATTAAACATTAATTTCCTTTGTATTTTCTTAATGAATTATTAATGAGTTTGAGAAGTTATGTTCTCATTCACTCAAAACATGTTAAGTCCGATAATGAATGAATTATCTTTCACCAAACTTTGTGTTCACACGAAGCGTTCCGCCAAAATCGTGCTCGGATCATCCACACTATTACCCTACGACGTCACAGATTTTGCAGTGTTACCCGCTTGGAGACTTTGGGCGGGAAACAGTTTGTTTTTTTGGATATCATGTGACCTCGAAGTAACCAGTAAGAGCTCGCGATGTTGGAAAATATTTGTGTTAAATAACAATGTCCATGGTTTTGGCTTTTGAATTATTCAAAATGAGCTTGAGAACTTTGTGACCAACTTGGCGATCCTTATAACACGAAGACGAAGTGTATTGACAAATGATATGCGTTTGTTTCTTTGCAGGGACCACCCGGACCTCCAGGTGAACGAGTAAGTCATGTTTTTTATGTACTCTGGTATTTAAAGTTAAAAAAGCATCCTTCTTCTCTATCACGTTTGACCCTTAAAGCCACAAATCCTCACACAAATTTTCCAGACTGATCTTCGTACAGTTCCTTTTACGATTAGAGGAGAGAATTTGTTCAAAGATCAAAGCATTTTCCCCTTGGTGGGCATTTACTTAATTCTCATTACCCTTTCTTTTGATGATGTATTGATACTGTAAGGAGAAACCTGATGTCGATCAATTCATCTTCAGGGCCAAGCCGGCTATCCCGCCCCATCACTGACGCGACAAAGCCGTGGAGATCCAAGCAAAGGACCAAGTGGTGGTGGAGGTGGAGGTGGAGGTGGCCCCCCCGGACCAGTACCAGGACCGATTGAAGAAGGTGGATTTAAGAGAGTGAGTACTCAATTTGCCCATTTGTTTGTCAAAGCTGTCCTGCCTTGTTTCCTTATTAGAGCCTTTAATATGTTAAGGGCCGATCTGTGTCGCGGATGCTCAATTTATTGGGTTGATAGTGCCTATAACGGGTCTGTTTTTTTCGCTATGGAGCTTAACATTAGCGCGGATTTTACCTGTAAATGACAAATTCACAGCTTCGTAGCAAACAAATATCGCTTCCCAAGCATTATACCAAACGTTACAAACCACAATAATGGACCTTGAAAAACTGTTAGGCTAACAAGTTTTCAAAAATCGCAAATGCAATCCGTTTTAATCTCTTTTAATTTTGTACGTCTGTGCCTTTTTTGGGTTTTCTCTGTTACGTATGCCTTCTTAATGTTTTGTGCCGTTATTTTTATGTTTTATTTAATTTGGGGGCAGCACGCAGCCAAAAGATTGCTTTTTGAACTATTTGGTTTGATACCTCTTTTCACTCTTTTGTTTGTAATTGCTGAACTTTCATTGAACTCAGCATTTAAACTTTATGAATAGAGGTAATAATGAATTTCCCTACTATTGAGCCTCCACTCCAGACTAAGGACTGTTAAAAATAAATTTTTATGTCACTCAAATGAACTAGACGTTCAAGGTAATAAGCCTGCTGTCATCACTCCAGCTCAAACGTCCAAGATAAGCTTAACATTTCTGGACAAAACTCTCATGTTTTTTCGTTTTCTTTTTTACCTTTTTCCTTTGCAGAAACGACGATCAGTAGAATCGGAAGTAAGTATAATAAGCACTTGTTCAATGCATATTAATTGGCGAGGATAAATCCAGTAATTGACAGTAAAGACATCGCTTACTTATATGCGGTATTCTTAAAAGTTGATTATCAAAGTTACCCTAACAAACAATGTTACGTCTTCTCTTTTAGACTATTTGCCATTTGAATTCTTTACGTTCTTGGCCCCGTTTATATGGAGAAAAGATACCTCGTTATACGTTTCTAGGAAACTGCCCACCTACCCCTCCCCTAAGCCAACATTAGCACTTACTTCTCACTTAGGACAAAATGTTGGCTTAGGGGAGGGGTAGGTGGATAGGCCTATCCGAGCTACCCTGGGCGTGCCAGCTGTTCCTACATTTCCTCATAAAATTTGGCGAACTGTTTACATGAGAAGCAAAAAGATAGCTCAGCTAGAAGGGAAACCCTATTGTGACTTTTTAGCCCTACATAATTACGACCTTAATATCTCCATCTTCGAGTAATTTTCACCATTGTACCTCATTTCCATTGCATAATGTTTGAGTTTTTCAAGTTTAAATTCGTCGGTCCTTAGCACCGTTCGTACGTTTTCCTGCGTTAGACAAGGGTTGGAGGTTTTCCCGCGGTAAACACAGACTGCCTGTTCTCCCGCGCTAGTCGATCGTCGGGACTTGGTGCCAGTTGAACCAAACTCCAAAACAAACACCACTCCTCAGTGGCTATTGCAAGTCCCAGAGGGTGGTACAGCGTAGTTAAAGTGACGGCTAATGCCTCGTGTTCTTTTTCAGGACATGGAAGTCGCCGACCGTATCGCAGAACTCGGAGAGAAGATGTATTTCCTTGAACGCCGTGGCAACTCATCACAGTTCCCTGCCAAGACATGCCGAGATCTTCAGCGATGCCACGCTGCTTCCTATCTCCCGGATGGTAACTGATCTAGTCTTTGTTTAGTTCAACCCAACAACAACAACGCTTCAGTGTGTTCTAGGAAACTAACCATCAACGCCTCCCCTAAACCAACTTAAACACTAAATTCTTACTTTGGGCAAAATGTTGGGTCATGGGAGGGGTAGGTGTTCAGTGTATTCTAGGAAACTACCCACCTACCCCTCCCCTAAACAAACGCTAAGTTCTCACTCAGAGCAAAATGTTGGGTTTGGGGAGGGGTAGGTAGGCCTTTCCCAGAATCTTGTGGTTTTGTTTGAACGCAGAGAAGCCGCTTTAGAGAATTTCCTTGGTTGTTGCGGCTTTCCTTCTAAATTAACAAAGTGTTTATTATCGTTTGCATAGCTACTCTTTAAAATTTTGTTTCGATTTATTTTATAACAGGTAATTACGTTGTCGATCCAAATGGCGGATCCACGAAAGATAGGGTCAACGTGTTCTGCAATTTCACCAACCAAGCCACGTGCATCAGACCTAGAGTGAAGAGGGTTTGTGAGCAATTCATTTTTTAGAGTCCTTTAGATTCGAAGACGAGAACGACTACGAGTACGAGATTTAAATAGAAGATTTTACGCATATTGTCAAAAAATAAGCTGCCCGGAAAGCTTCATCGTACTTTTGATTCACCAGAAAAGTTAGCACTGTTAGGTTTATTGAAGGAGGTCAAGTCCTCTCCCGACCGCAAACTGATAAAGATCAGTCTAACATTTGTTCCTCTTTATTATGGCACTGATTAAAAGAGAAATTCTTACCAGTCGCAAAGTCTTGTACACGAAGTCTTAAACGCGTAATCAGTTCTTCTTTTGCGAAAAGACGCTATTCAAAATACGGATTTTTCTCGCTTAAACCGTCAGCTTAAGCGAAAAAAAATTGACACACCTTTTTTTGTAACGATTTTCCAACTTTCAGCCGACGGAGGAATGGGTAAATAAAGTAAACTTGTCGAGTTTTGAACTCGGAAACTTTTTCAAATTCGTGCTCGCGTGATTAGCGCGCGAAAAGCAAAACATCTTGACGCCACAACCATGTTTACATACTCTCATGCAAACAATCCTCTCGGCCAATCAGAGCGCGTGTACTATCCTAGTTATTTTATAAAAGAGTATAGCAAAACGGTGTTTTTGCCGAATAGATGTGGAATGTAGGCCAAACCGGAGGAAATTTTCGTTTTGAAACAAAAACAGATACGCGTGGAGGAGGCCTAAGCCTTTTGTAGTTGATGCTGTAGTTAGTAAGGGTCAGTAATACCAATTGTATTGGATACCTGTTAGTTGTACAGTTAGGGCCTGTTTATATGGAGGTGGAGGACCCCAGATAAGTGAGGTAACATGCCGCGGGTCGCCCCACCGAACATGTAAATGTGATCAAATAAAAATGAGAGATTATATGGACAGGTGAGCGGGTTACCTCACATACCTGGGGTCCCCCACCTCCTTTAAACAGACCCTTATTAGAGAGCTTAAGCGACGACGACGGCAAGGAGAACGGCAAAAGTGCAATAGTTTAATTAGCATAACAACTTTGCACGTAAATCACACTTTCTTGTACATTTCTTTGCTGTCACTGCACGTCTACGACGTGTAAATGCCTAATTTCGCGTTTTATGGAGGACGCAAACAAGCAATGGCGAAATTTTCTTTCTCTTTCTGAACTTGAGTGCACTCCCCAAGAAATCAACTCCAGGGAAATTCGCCTACATTTGACCTTTTCAGCAAATTGGAATAAACGCGACAAAGTTTGAAAAAACGCGAGTTCATTTTAAATGTGACGTTTTCGCTGCCGTCGCCGTCGTCGATGCTAAATCTCCCTACTAGGCCCAAAGGCTATGGCCGTTTTCTACACAGCATTCTGCAGGGCCTGGTTCCTGAAAGGCCGATCAGGGTTAATCCAGGATTCAAATGTTGTTCCGTTTTTGTATTTTACATTCCTGTGCATTGCTTATGGTAACATTTTGTGTTATCATTACTATGTCTCGTAGTAAAGGCTCAACAGTATTTTGTAACCTCGAGTTGCATGTTCTTAGACCAGAAACCCTTGCTTGAAATTTGGCTTAATCCTGGGTAAAACTCAACCATCTTTCGAGGAACTGGGCCCTGAAGTACAAATTTGTTTCCGTTGTGTCACTTTCCACACACAACAAAGCAGAAAACAGAACGTCTTTATTATCTTTTTTAGCTTGATAAGACCTTATGGCAGAGAGGAATAGATCCCCATATGAAGGTGGCCTGGTTTGCCGAAGACTTGAACAATGACAAAAAGGTTTGTAACTATGTTCCCCCAAGTATTAAATATGTTAATTTGGAGTTTACACTCAAGCGACGATTTTGAGCGATGCCCCCGTCAACCGTGAATATGGATTTGAGATGGAGCGTTGACACCGGATTTGATCTACTCTTTTAGAACAAATTCTTAAACGTTTTTATAAGAGCAAAGAAAGATAGGGCCTAAAACCATCTTTGGTAACTGTTCCCAAACCTGTTTAAAAGCGCAATGGTTCACTTCCAGGTGACAATTGGTTAAGCTATCCCTCGTCTGTCAATCAAACCGCGTAACGCGCACGATTTGACCAATCACAGCTGCTTCGCATGGTTTTAAATCACGCTAAATCCTCAGGGTTTTCGTCAGAAATGCCACGAAATCAATTCTGGAGGTTACGCTAGGTGGCGCTGTTTTTCCCAGCACAATTATTAAAGACGCCATTATCAGTGCCCCAATTTCCCTTATGCTCGAGTTATTTAAAACTGATTTGAGATGGATTTTAACACAGTGGAAATTCCGTCCCTTCTAATCTACGAACAATCTGAAATGTTTAAACGTCGTTATGTGCTTTTTTTTCCGCAGGGATAGGGCCAAGAAACCACCAACACAAAACTGTTCCCCCTTTCTCGCCTGTTTTCACGCGCTTGCGTTTCAATGGTAAAAACCACAGGAAAAATGGGGCTGTGATTGAGAGTGTGCGAAGTTGTTTTCGTCTGTCAATCAAACCGCGTAACGGCTCATTTTACCAATGCGATCACATGCTGCTTTGCATGGTTTTTTCACCCTGAAAACAGCCTAAATCAACAAACGCACAAAGATGGAATTTTTCTCCCTTCCTTGCGTTTGTGAATGCGTTTTCGTGGACATACTGGACGATATGTGTTGACAGGTCTCCTCTGCAAACGGTTATTTTTCAGATTGAATATGAGATCGACGAGATCCAACTGTCCTATCTACAACTGCTTAGTAACCACGCCCAACAAATGTTCACGTTCAAATGTAAAAATTCAGTGGCCTGGTACGACGAGAATTCGCGCAGCTTCAAGAAGGCCGTCAAGTTCGAAGGCGCCAGTGGACACGAGTTTAGCTCGAAATCTAAATCCAAGAAGGCCATGATCAAGGTTCCACATGATGGTTGCAAGGTAATACTGTTGGTCCACTCTTTGTTCTTTTCCAGAATTCTAATGTTTCCTTGTTAGGGGCTGTTTACATGACACCGGGGCGACTTTCGCGCCGGAGTGAGTTCACTCCGGTTCCCTCTCATGGCTCTACATTTGTTTACATGATACCACCACAAAATGTCATGCCAGCGCGAGTCACCCCGGCGTGTGTTCACCCCGGTTGCTGTACCGGGGCGAGAATTTCACTCCGGTACGAAATCTCACAACGGTATCATGTAAACGCGAAATGACCACACGTTTCGGTGTGAAATCGGTCTGTCGGGTAACTGGAACGGGTAGCTCATGCGTAATGTTTGTGATTTTGAATCTTACGTGTATTTTATCAACATGAAGTGTACCTTCAAAATGACCCAGTCATAATGTAAACTCGATACGAAATAAAAAAGTCATTCCGGTATGAAACTCGCGCCCGTGCGAGTTTTCTCATGTAAACACCCCTAAAGATATGAGGGAGTTTAACATACCACGACGGCGTCGGGCGCGAAATTAGGGAGCTTAAGGTCATGCTTACATTATACCGGGTAGGGCTTCTGTTTTCAGGTGATTTCGGCGCGACTTCTAAAAAACGAAGCGAAGCAGCGTCGCGCCGCTGATCTATAAAGTGGAGAGTCGCATATCGGATAGGTTGACACACTACCTTATTATAGGAAATTAACGCTGGAAATTCGCGTTAATTTAAGTTGTGTTAATTTTTAAACGGTAATTTTAAACGGTAATTTTTAAACGGTATGTTTATTTTAAACGGTAATTTTTAAACGGTAATTTTTTTTTTAACGGTTAATCAAGTGAAGTGCGAATTTCCGCGACCTTCATTTCCATTATTTAGGCCCCAAATTCTCGATAAGAAAGAGGAGTATTTTATCAGGGTGGAGATCCGCCGGTTATCAGTGAAACTGTGAAGAACCCTCGAAGTGGCAAGATTTCTTCGCTTGGCCTTCTTCGTCATTTAGGGAAAGAACCACGAACAAAGTTTCCATTACGGACTATACTTTTAACTTTGTTCCCGTTCTCTTAACAAGGGTTGTTTCTTAGTGAAAGAAATTTCCTTCATTTTAAAATATGTCACCTCTTTTTCGTGTTGATTCCCTTTATTCGAAAGTCGTTTTCCACTAAATTCGCGTCAATTTAAGTTGCGTTAAGTTCCAAAAACTTATTTTCATAGAGCGTTAATTTCCTTTAATAAGGTATATCCGGTATGTTGTGAACATGGGGGACCTTACGAAACTACGACGGCGACGGCGACGGCGACGGCAACGGGAACTTCAAAAAAGCAATAGGTTTAAAGAGCAAAACAACAACTCTGTACGTGCGTTACGCTTTTTTGTATATTTCTTTGCCATGCATGCATAACAAGGACGTGAAATGACCAAGTTTTAAGTTAACTTGGGAACGGGAACGGCAAGGCGATAAATTCTACCATGTCTGTCAGAACTCGGGCGCAGTCGCTTCTCGCTTCCCTTCAGCTGCAACCAAAATTCCCTTCTTTTAAGTAACTGGGCCCCTTGGAATAATCGCGAAAAAAAGTGAAAGGATGCGAAGGTTTTTTTTTTTTTTAGCGACGTTTTCATAGACGTCGCTGTTGCCGAATTGTGAGGTCCCTATAGCCTAAGCAACGAGGACGACAACGACGGGTACGAAAGTGTCGCTTAAAAAGTGAATTCGCGTTCTTTCAATCTCTATCGCGATTATTGCAACTGGCTTACTTTGTCAAAATATAATATAAGCAAACTTTTCTGGAGCTGTATTCATAAGAATCATATCCAAGTTCAGAAAGACAAAGAAAACTTCGTCGTCGCTTGTTTTCGTCCTCCTCACGTCGTAGTCGTGCAGGGACGGCGGCAAAGAAATGTATGAAAAAGTGTGCTGCACGTGCAAGGTTCTTGTTTTTCCTAGCCAACCTATTGCTTTTGTGACGGTCTCTTTGCCATCGCCGTAGTGGCTTTTAAAATTTCCTGCAACTTAGAAACGCCTTGTAGAGCTTAGTGAAAATAATTGCGTTAGATTACAGGAAACAGCATCCTAATCCCATCTTATAACTTCTATTTTGTACGTCGATACTATTCGATCGCCCCAGGTATATTTGCAGCGCACTGTCGACTTATGTGGCGGCTTAGAACGAGTTCGTATCCCTCGAAATTTGCTGATCCTTTGTGGGGAACGTCGATTCTGTGACTTCGTCGACTTCTGTGACGATTTCTTTGAGTTTTGTTTTACTGCGGGTAGAAATCTTTATTCTGTGATTTTATGTCACTTCTTTCTTTGAGACTTTCTCAAAGGAACTCACTGTACAGACAACAATGTTTCTAGCTCTTTTCCCCCCCCTCCCCCCACCTTCCTCGCCAAAAGCACCCTCTTAGACCAGAGCTCTTGTAACGTCATGTTTTTCGCCCCCAGATTAAGGACGGATCACTGCGTGACACACAATTCCTGTTTACTACAACTCAAGCCTCCCGCCTGCCCATTGTAGACTTTGCTGCCTATGACTTATCAGGAGAATTAGAGGTGGAAATCGGCGAAGTGTGCTTCTGGTGAACTGTGTATAATAGCTAGGGATTTTTTTCTCTTGCCGTCATAATATTAAATATTAAAGTATGTCTTGCCTAGTAGTATTTTTGAAGCAAATCTACCCGCGGACTTTTCGAAGGAAGTACTCATTATTAATAAGTATTGTTGCTCGTTTGCGTTTAGAAGGGTCCAGTGTCTCTTAAGCTTATCACGTAATAAAAGAGTTATTTTACAGTCGCAAACGATTTGTAATGCGTAGATGTGTTTCCAAGAGTTATGATTTTTATGTTTTGTTATAATAATCTGCTGTTACCCAGATATTATACCCATCCTTGCAAAATGGTGCATGTCTTAAGAACAACTTGGTTTCTTAAGCCTTTTTTTAGTTGCTCTACATTTTTTCCTGTAAAGACGCTCTTGTATTCACAGGTCGAGTAATTTTGGTATGAAATATTAAAGACTCTAGTGAACAAAAGATTTCAAGTGTTTCTTAAGTCCATGATGCTGAGCGAGATTTCAACCTGTTCGTAGTCCGTTACTTCTGGCAAAAAAGAAAACTCCTGATAGTAGTCCATCACTTCTCGCGAAAACCAGACTGTCCGATAAATTGTGATTTTAAGAAAAAAAATTGAGAAAAGCTGAAATTGTAACCACCCTGTATACTTTGAATATTTTTTTTGCCGCATCCGCCTTAACATGTCGAGCGACGAACATGATTGGTCAAAATCAGCGCGTGATTTGTGTCCATCCTCCTCTGGGCCAAAACAAAGTATAACAACAAAAAAACTGAAGGCGCGAAAGGTGCATTGTGGGCTAGAGGCGTCTAATCTTTAAGGCTATGTTCGTACTATTCCGGATAGCGCTTACGCCGGCACAGAGACCATAGCGGATAGCGGTTCACACATAAGAACGGTGATTTCGGCTAGCCTGTGTACAGACCCCCCTTAGTAAAAATCGGAGAAGGGGAGGGGGATCTGTACACAGGCTAATTTCGGCGCGATTTTTGTAAAGGAGCGAAGCCGCGCCTCGTCAGTCTCGAAAGTGGAGGGTCGGTGCAATGTGAATATGTATTCGGACCGTAGCGGAAGTGTAAAGTAGAAGTGAGGACTCGAATCTACTTAGGCGGAAGTAAATATTCTGTAGTAGGGATTGGGATTTAGTTCACCACGCCACGTCAGTCTCGAAAGTGGAACGCCGCATATCGGAGAGGTTCTGTGCCACACTTTGGTGTAGTGTGAACATGTATTGGGATCGTAGCGGAAGTGAATAAGCAGGAGCAAGGACTGGAATCTACTTAGACGGAAGTAAATTTTCACGAGTAGGGGACTGGGATTTAGTTCACCAAATTCTCTCCGTCGGCCACTCTGACACGATTTGTGTGAACGACTTGTTCCAGTTCTGTGCTCGCGCTGTTGTTCATACCGCACCGGTTAGCTTTTTCGTGCTGGTACGAAAAGCTTAACAGTATAGTGTAAACACAGCGCGCTCAAACATTCCGTTGCCTCCCGGCTATGTTCGATGACGACATACTTTGATCTTGACCCTTTGGTGGCGATCGACCGCCAGCGAGTGGCGAAAAGACTGCATTTTTCACCAATTAGAATGGGGATGGCTATAATTCTGCTTTTTACGAATCCATGGCGATCTGTCTTTCTCGCTATACTTTATTTCCTTTACCTCTTTCAATTAAAAGCCAGTTTTGTTGCCCACTTTATCGTTTTTTCGCATGGAATTGTGGCTGGCTAACTTTCCGGGAAAGAGAAAAATTCAATCTGCAAAGAATAGACTGAGGTGAATAGCGAAATTAGCAGTGGATTTCCCCAAAATGTTACCTCGTTTTTTGTGTGTAACAATGTCAGAATTGGTCAGATTTCCAAAATGAGGTATCTGTGGGAAGATCTATCCTTGCTGATGTTGAGTGACGCTGCTCTAATTCTCGTGCACAATGACTTTGATATGGTCACTTGTCTTGAGAGTAATTAGAGAATGACCACCAAGAGAGAATTTGAAAGAAACTGATAAGAAACAATTGCACCATGATTAACCATATTACTTGACTGTGGTTTATTATACCCACAGCGGAAGGAGTTATGACGCAAATTGGTATATCTTAATTTATCTCTTTTCTTCAAGATTTTTAAGTATTCAAATCTTTAATTTCATTTATCAGTTGTCAAATCTTTGAAAAAACCGCTTCCAGTCGCAATGGTGGCTGAAGCGATGATTAAGGTTATTTCGAAATTGTAGCCAAAGAGTTTTTTTTTTTGCTACAGTAGTTAGCTCTCATTTCTATCCGCTTTAACCTTGTCTGGTATTGCAAAAATATTGCTGATCAGTGGATACTGGCAACTCTTTATGCTTAGAGTGAATGATGCTTCCTTTTTTTAATCTGTGGACAAAATATTGCAGTGTAACCGTTCTAATGAAACCTCTTTAACAGTACTGTCACATGGTTCTATTTATTGAGTGTGCAGTTGTATCTTTTGAGTCTCCGGTTAAAATCCCATGGTGTGAACATTCAAATGAAACCTCTTCAGCAGTACTTTCTTATGGTACTATTTATTTAGTATGTAGTTCTAACTTTTGAGTCTGTGGACAAAATTTCGCGTTGTGACCATTCAAATGAAACCTATTTAACAATACTTTCACGTGGTACTATTTGTTTTTCGGCATTTAACAAAATGAAATTTGGAATTTTTTGTCTAATTTTGACTCTGGCCACCTCTGTGAGTGAAGAGGTTAGAAGTTTTTAGAACTTAGTTGTAACGTGCAATAGGGTCTTCCAGGCTGTAAGGTCGTCAGAATATGCCCTCCCACCTTAAAAAAAAACGCCTGATCTAATGTTTGGTAGTCAGATATTTGAAGTACGCAGAACCATAACTGCTTGATTGCTCTTTAAAATAGAGAGAACCTAGTACCAATTAATGGAAGTATTTGTCCCTGATTTAGGTCAAGAGCTTTTCTTATGAAATAGCAGGTGACAGTACTTGTGAACTCCTCGAAATCTGCTTGCTTCCTTTATTGATGAAGCTCGACAAAGCAACAGTAAAGCAGGAAGAGAAACAAACAAGCAATGTAAAAACCACATGAAACGGAAGCAACAGACCCTCCCGTGAGGTTTTTTTTTTAAACTTTTTTGGTAAATAGCAGTAAGCGAATATCCATCAGCACTGCTAGAAATAGCGCCTTAAAATAAGGTTACTTGCCAAGTTTAAAGGTGACTGATACGTCCAAAGACAGCGATTATATTGCTCCCCAAAGTCGCGAAATTTTACAGACGTTTGCAAAGTAGGGGCAACGGCGAATTTGCGGAGCCTTATTTTCAAATCTCTTTCAAACTTGGCATCCTTATTTTCAGTCTTTCTTTCTAGCTGTATTGACAGATTGTCGCTAACTGGCCCTAGTCAAAGTTGAAAAAAACCGTGGAAGGATCTATTGGGAGCAGACTTAAAGAAATATAAGCATTATTGATTCCCCCGGGGGGACTCCCATATGAAAGGGGTTGGGGTGCTCGTCGTCTCGCTTAAGGGTGTAAATTTTGGATTTTGGTCTCACGTAGGATGTTCTGGGCAAAAAGCCATTATATTTAGCCGTAAGGGTCTCTTATAGGGTTGCACGAGAAGAAATGTAAAAACACATTTTTTTTTTCATTTTTTTTTTTTACTCGATTCATTTAATCATAGTTTAATATGGTCTCTTAGGGGCCAAAAAAAAGGTTGGGCCACGCCCAGAATGGTCTCCTTTAATTCACAATTTCCTACGAGCATCCCCATCCATGTCATATGGGAGTCCGGGTATTGATCAACCGGGAGGTCAAGATGGCTGGATATTGGCCGAGTTCCTTGATTTATTTTATTATCAGATTAATCTATTTATTTATTTTATTTCATATTTTTATGTCTTTTTTTATGGACCGTGCATAAACACGCAAGAAAAGAACGACCACAATATTCAGCCATTTTGACCGAACAAAAGTAAAGGATTTATAGTATGGCCAGTAAAAATATTTCATTCGGGACAAAACGACAACTGCCGAGCGGGTAGAATCCACTCGGACACTTCGTACCAAATCGGAACGCAGGATTCGGCTCCTAACCTTGCTCGTTCGTGCAATCAGCCGTATAAGAACGTAGAATAAGGTATGCTGTGTTTTAGAATGAATTGCGTCAGATCATTACGGGCCATTGAGACGACAGTGGGTACTTGAAGGGACTTCAGTGACTCAAGTGGCGAACAAGTGTTGTACCTCCACGACCAGACCCCCCAGCTCAGCAGCAACTTGTCATTAGCGGTATATTGACGGTAAGTGCATTGATCTAAGGAAAAGCTACATTTCCATTATCATTTTGTGTGTATCGAATAAACGAATTACTATAATACTTAAACTATTGCTAGCAATATAGTGGTAAAATATGGCTCGATTGCGCTGTACTTTAGTGTACCATTCTCTGTTTTTAAGCTGTAGATATCCTTAAAATGTAACCATTGGGGTGGAAGGAATTTGTTGATCAATACTATGTTGTTTGAGGTGAGGGTAGCTTTCCCACATAATCATTGAAATGAAAGCCAGTATTCAACAATACTTTCTTGCGGTGCTTTTTATTATGCGGTTTGTCGAGTCCTGAGGGTGTAAGCATTCAAATGATCTTTCTGGATGAAATCCTGAATTGTGACCATTCAAATGAAAGCCACCGAACGGCACTTTCCTTTGGTACTGTTTCTTATGCTGTATGAGGTGGACCTAACTTTTGAGTTGGTGGACGTAACCTTAAAGCGTGACCATTGGAATGAGAGCTACTCAGCAGTACTTGCCTCTGGTACTTTTTATTATGCCGTACAAGGTGGTTCTAACTTTTGAGTTTGTAGATCGATTCCTAAAGTCAAGCGAGAGCTACTGAGCAGTACTTTCCGGTGATACTGTTTATTATGCTGCACAAGGTGATTCTACCAGGGCCACCCAAAGTCAATTTTTGGAAAATGCCTGTTCGGAAGACGATTTAGGATCTAGAATTTTCGGAACATTTGTT